CATACATGACAACTTGAAGACAGAGAGACGCACCGCAGTCAGACTCATGCACATCAAACTCGACGTCGCCATCGATGGGCGTGAGACGCGTAATGTTCGTGCTGGTGAACCACTGATACAAATCACAGCCCAGTTAGCACACGGTTGACCACCACAGAAGACGGAGCGCCACGTACGATGAAGTGGCCGAACTGACGGTCGCCGAAGTTCACCTGCACGCGGCCGTTCTGGGAGTTGAAGTTCTGGCCGGCGACGAAGACCGCCTGGCGCTGCGGCGGGATCGTGATGCTGACCATCTTCGACAGCGTGCTGCTTGTCGTGCTCGAGTCGGAGACGCCGCCCCCGATACTGAGCCCTCCGACCTCGATGCCGATGTTGGCGTCCACCGTCGTGGTCTCGGACACCTCGGTAGAGCCGCCGACCATGAGGGTGACGGGTGTCGAACCACCGCCACAGCTGCGAATAGTTGCCTCGGGTTAGCAAGCGAGTGACTGGACGTAGAGAGTGACGCACTTGAGCTGGGGATCGCCGACAACAACGAACTTGCGGACGCTAGGGTTCGCAATGGGGCTGTCCTGTGATCAGGCTCATCGTGAGCCCGTGCAGTCATTGGGTGTAAATATTGACATCACGTACAAGGGTGCAACGATCCGCGCTCTCGAATTTGCTCGAGCCAGGGCCTCCAGGGCAGGAGTCGAACAGGTCCTGGTCATTGAAGTCCTGGCGCGGGTAGTGCTGCGGGAAGGCAAGTGCGTAGCTGAGAACGGAGAGAACGATGAAGGAAGTGGCGAACATGGTGAACTTGAGATAGGAAGGCGACCGCACGCAGTGCAATGAGCTGGAAGGAAAGTGAAAGAGGGGTGAGACTCGCAGAGTGCTGAGGATCTCAGTGATTTCTATGTCCCCTTTATACTTCGCATAGTGTAGCTCATGGGCTACGCGAACCGCTGTTATCGGCTTGCGTGGGACCAGGATCTCACATAGTTGTCCTCCGGCATTTTTGGTTGTAGTGGCGGAAGAAACGGCAGAGCCTCCGCCCACGGCTGCTGCCCGTTGCGAGGTGTTGCAAGTCGTCGATACGGGATGCGAGGCCAGTACATCTAGGGCGATCACTGTATTGTGATCCAGCGAACGCCGTCTGAATGCCAAGTCTAACCTTGCAGGCCTAGAGGAACACAATGAGCGGTGCCCAGACGCAGGGCGGCGTGATACGGCACAACCTGTTGGAAAGTCGAGATGGGCTACAAATTGGGGGTGCTTGATAATGTGGTGGGAACAGCTGCCTGAACAGTCTGTGGGTAGCTTGGACATGTGGCGTAGATCCGGTAGGCAATGCTCCAGCAGCTGGCGAGATAGGTACGGTGTCAGAGCAGCATCGGTAGCGCGAGAACTCACAAATGACGCACCGGCATAGAGCTGTGGTGATGCGGAACACGCCAGGCTCGCAGTGGCCTGATAACTTAATGCCCGCAGCCAAAGTTCAACTAGTCTCCCCTTTCTATCTCTCGCGGATTGAACGCGTATACTCAATACCTCTCCGGTCACCAACGCCATGAGCGAGGCCGTCGAGCTCAAAGCCGACGTTGGCGTCGATTGTCGTCTTCGTTGACACTGTCTTCTCGCCGCCGAGGGTGACGGTGATCGGGTCCGTGCCGCCTCCTCAACTATAGGAGAGTAAGTACGTGCGTTCCTGAGAGTGCATCCGAGTCGTGGATGCTGTGCAGGCGTCCGGGGGGCAGTCGCGCGTCAATGAATCGCCTGGCGTGTTCGACGAACACGAAGAGCGAGATGATGCCGAAGATGTCGTATGCGGATGTCATGGCGATGGTGCGGAAGCAGGCGGTTTGGAAGAATGGAGCTCAAGTGCGCAAGTGAGGCCTTCGCGGTGCGAGCTGGACCCCGGAGGGAGGAGATTACAAGGGCGGAAGATACGAGCAAGCAAGCAAAGGATGCGGGGGCCTGCTATTACATATACGCTGTGCGGACACCTCGTGTTGATTCCAAGGACCTGTGCGCTTGTATGAGTGCATATGCCGTAAGATTCAGAGCGAGGGCGATGCACGTCAGAACCCAGCGGGAATATTTGCAGAAGATGAAGGTCCAAGGACGACTTATCCACAGACGAGACGTCCGTTTACCAATACCCCTTGGGAATAGGATCTTCGGGTTTCCCAGCCCAAGTTAACTTGGATCCCTTGCGCAATGGTACACGAGCAGCGCGTTCCTAAGTTGTACAACATACGTATTCCCTGAGAGTTCGGATAAGTAAATCGTCTGTGTGCTAGCGAAGGAGTCCGAGAAGTTACTTGCCTATCACCAGAACAATGACTCCGCCGCTTTGACGGCATGCCAGTATGATTAATCCATCGGTGTCATGCAAGTTGCTTGGAGTCGCGACAGGGTTGAGTTGAACGTTGAACGACGACGAACGACTCAACGACTCGAGAAAGCCGTGCGCGGCTAAAGCTCTCTAAAAGCTCTTCCAATGCAGAACGTCACACGGCGTCACATTCTCGCGGCCAGCGCCGAGGTGACGTCATCCCTCTTCCTCAGGGCTCGAGCGCCTAGCCCTGCCAGGTATTTCGACTTCTTGGATGCTTGGAGAACTCTGGGTGAGAACGCTGTCGACCTCGACCACGATGTCGTGTGCTGCGGTAGTCGCCTCTGCACCTCGTACCTCTCCCAATGACCATGGATAGCCTAGACACCAATCCCCAGCTCACCGCGGAATTTGTCAAGTTCCTGAATGCACAACTGCAAGATTGCGGGGACCAGCTGCAACGATTGAACGAGGTAAGACTCGCTGCAGGCATGCTGGTGACGAGAGCCAGGTGTTATGGATGCAATAACATGCATGATTCCTAATATACGCCATTGAGCACTCGTTCCGGCCTGGTAGAGTGTGTACCATGCGATGCAGCTCACCGGGATCATCCTTCAACTTCCAGGAGAATGTTTCCCTCAGGCAGACCCTTCAAGAAAGCGCACCGCAACTTGGCGGCATCTCTGGCCCTACGGACGATCAGGTGCGTCATTCTTTCTCGACAAATCACGATCTTCGTACCAACCTCGAAGTGGGAAGACCATTTCTAGTCTGAACGTCGAGATAGCGACGCTGAAAGATGAGCTGGCCGCATTACAAAGAACCGCCGAGGACCATCGCAAGGATGCCGCGACGTGGCGCGAACGCCTGAGCAAGGGGCGCGCGCGCTCGGAGACGCAGCGCTCGGTGAGCCCGTTTGATGCCCATTTGTTTGATGAGTTTGTGGGGGAGGACACGGCGTCATCGGCGTTGCGGAAGCGCGCGAGGGAGGAGGAGGAGGAGGCGGGGCCGTCAAAGGTGCGGAGGGTGGACGACCTGCTGAACGATGGGTGGTTTTGAAGTCGAGGGCTGGGATGGGTCAGTGGTCTTTGCGGCGTTGTGTGCATGCGCTGACGTTTGGGAGAGCAGGAGCCCGGCGACGCATCTGAATGTACAGTCAAATGTATATGTATCTCTTGTGACTGCCCGCCTTGCGTCGTATGGCTTGAGCTCGACGGCTATCTCTTCACGGCAGGCTCTGGCTAGTCTCGCGCCCCGCACAGGGAGGTATCCATATAGGGAGCAGGGCGCCTCGCGGAGCCCAATCCCAGCGGGAGGTATATATACGAGGTGCGGCGCCTTTTCCCTCCTCACACTCGACCATCGCCACCTCCCTCCGTTTAGCCACCACAACCCGACTACCCAAACACCCAACCGCCATGACCACTACTACCACGGCCCCCTCGCCCATCCCCCTCGCCCCTGCTACCATTATCGAGATGGCCGCTCTGAGCCCAGCTGATACCGCCGTGGTTATGCCCTGCCACCGGCCCATTCACGACAACGACAGTAGCACTTGTCAATCATTCAACTGTCTAGGGCGTGGCCCCGAGGACCTGACACACGACGACCCGACGACTCCGCTCTTCGAACGCCTCGACGTGCTGGATGAACTGGAGAACACTCCTGCGATTGAGAAGGAGCGGCGCGAGGTCAGGAACCGGTTGATTGTAATGGTGGCCTGGGTACGTCCCTTCGCGACCCGCTCGTGGGCTGTTCCGGGCGCGATTCTGACGGCGCATGCATTATAGTGTGCGGGGCCTGAATACTGGGAGGGGTATTGGCGTGCGATGGGGTTTCCGTGCGCTCCGAGGCCTCCTCCTGAGGGGGTGCAAAGCCTCGCGGATATGGATTATAAATATGATGAAGACGAGAACATGGACGCCGCTCCAGCGGAAGGGGCTTCGACGCTAAGCGAGGGGGAAGTCGGCTTGAATATCCGCGCTATGGAGGTCGAACCCCTGGACGAAGAAGACTCGGCCAAAGTGGAGGCGATGCTGGAGTGCGTCGCGGGTGGGAAAGACGAGTGAAGGAAGCATGTGGAGCTGGAAGATACCTTGGGGGTTGGATGTATAGTTCACGGACTCGGGAGGATATGGTTTCCGTTTGTTTCTGTACAAGACTGGCGGTCATGGACTCGGACGTTGTATGATACTGGCACCGATCAAGACTACTTGTAATTCTATTCAGCACCCTACGACCAGAGACCTCTCTACATTGTACAGACCGTATCATCCGTGGCTAAGTTCGTTCGTGTTGCTCGACGCGTCGATACGCGACGCGTGCATAGGCCACATGATCGCGGTTAAGCCTGGGAATTTCCGTCCGTCCCGGCAAGCCGCGCGGCAACGAATTCTCTTTGTCTTCCCGGCCATTGTCGTCCACTCTCATGCGCCCAATGGACGCTATGTTCCCTTATCAGGTAATGTGTATTCTACCTAGCGTCTCGCTCTAAAGCGAGCGTTCAATTCACGAGAGTCCGAGGTGGGGCGGAAACTTGAACAGCGGTGGACAAAGTGGCGCTGGAAGATTTAGCCACACCATGCGCCGCTATTGTCGTCGTTATCCCACCTACTCACTGATGATTTTGAAAGCTCCTATCCCAGCCACAATGGCATGTCGCGGTGCGCTGAAACGGTACACTTGGGAGTAGTATAAAACGCGCTCCATTGAATGTCGCGAACCTAGACGCCGTAACGACCTTTCGTTCTCCTTCAGTGCGTTCCCGTAAGGATTGAAGGCAGCAAACGACTGCACCGTGTCTTTGGCGAGGTCAGTGCCCATATATACTCGTCTTCACTCACCTTCAGCACACCACAACTATCCTTCACACATGATGCCTTCCCGCGATCGGAAAACCGGCCGTTTTCGGGCAGCAGCCCGTCGTTCCCACAAGCCCCAGAGCCGTGCCAAACCGCAGGATGAAGGGGAGGAGAACACCGAGGAGACGCGCCGGGACACCGTTCAAAACGGGAAGCCCAACGACACGAAGAGGAAGACCTCGGAGGCACAGCAGCGACAGGGCCCGGATAGCAAGCGGCGAGAGACTACAGCGGATCAAGACTCGAATGCGTTGATCAACTCATTCCAGGTCGCTCAACACGCCAGAGAAACGTCCCCGGGTCCGTCGACACGTCCCATACAGCCAATTATGCTTGGAAAATGGGCTGAAGCAACGCCCTTCGATCCTCCAAAGGACGACCGGTCAGGCCTTTCTATCCAGCACCGCCGAGCCGTTCAGCGTAACCTACAAACTGCTTCTCAAGCGCCGATGCCTCGAACATCGACTTCCTCGCTATCAATGGCACTGGGCGGTCCGGCGTACCATCAGCAGACCACACAGCGCGGTACCTCAGAGCAGGCAGCACCGACCTGGTCGGCTTCGAAGTACCCCGGAGGCATCACGCCCCCGTTCCCGACCTCGACCAACCAGCTCGAAGCAACGCACGTAAGTTCCTTGCCCAGAGAGCCACAGCCCAACCCTTTCCTATCGCAGCCCGTGGCAAGCACGTACCGGCATGCATCGCCGCGGCGGACTTCCGAACAGGAGGAGCACATGATGGAGAGGCAGCGCATGCTCCGCCAGCGGAACGTCGACAGGGACGACCCGCGACTCCGGCAGACGGTGGTCGACGCCCCTGTCCCGTTCTTGGCGTCGCCTACGCAAAGGGTGGCAAGCAACAGCCGCGGCCTGACTCAGGCTGGCAGGTTCGCAGCGCCTTCAGCGGGGGCAGGGGCGTACGGAGAAAATAAGCCCACTCCGTCTGGGGTTCTTCGGCAAAGGGCAAACCTTGCCCCAGTAAACCCCGTCCGGAAGCCCGGTTATCTGCCTCCGCGGATCGCGGGCTCTGAAAAGTAAGATTTGTTCTTATCTATATCTCCTCCACCCCGCTCACTTTGTATGTGTGGTAGTCGGCGCTCAAGCCTAGGGAGTGCGGTGCGCCTCGTGCAGTTTCAAGAAGGCACAACGAGGGACACGAATGGCCAGCAGTCCGGATCGAGGGAGACGTTGTGGCCTGGAGAACCTCCGGCCTCCATGGCGCAGCCATTGACCGAAGCACCATACTCCTTAGGCGGCGGGTCAGGATGGCTGAACGAGCTACGCCGTCGCGAAGCTGCCGCGCGAGAGATGCAATGGGACAGGACGCCACTTGCAAGCACTTCTGCTTCTGCAAGAGCCTCGAGCACGGGCACGCAGAATGGTGAAAGCGCTGGCGGGTCTGTGCAAGGGTGGACTCATGGGACCGGTACCACAGTCGCGAACACGGCACACGGGGACGATTTTGAGGACTTCACGAACGCGCTGATTGAGTATGAGCAGACAAGCGGGAAAACAGTTTCGCCCGGAGGACTTCAGTACTCGAGCGCCATGGCGCAGCCACTGCCCTCATCCTCGTACTTCGCCCGGTCGGACGCGGGTTCACCGTCGAGCGACGCAGGCACTTACACAGACGCCACACAAGAGAAGCAATGGGCTGACACGCCAGACGCAAGCTTCACTTCCGCCCTGGCGAGCTCAAACAACGTCGCACCGCCACTGGACGCCCACATGTCGGCACCCTCGTCTTCGTCCTTGGACCCAAGCCAGAGCTTGGGCACCGAAATCACACTCGACGCGGTCCAAGAAGCATTCGCGCGCAGAAGGGCGTGGCAGCCGGAAGCGGACATGTTCGCGGGCCACTGCTGGCTAGGATTTGTAGGGGAGGATGGGTTCATCCGCTCGTTCGACCCTCCACGGCCTTGCGACGGCACGTGCGAGAGTCATCGTATCCTGAAGCAGGGGCTGGGAGAATACCGTTGATCTGCTGTCGCATGCACTTTTGAGCCGTTGATAATTCGCTGTCGTCGTCTTCAAGTTGCTGGTAATTCGCTCTCGCTGTCGTCGCTTTCAAGCAGAAGTTGTTGATGTAGTACGCGTGGGGAAGTGCTCACTGGCTTGATGCACCTACCCTGGACCTCAATGTAAATAGAACAAATACATATACACTATCATCCACGAAAACCTACACCTCTGGCAGCCGCAGCGTCGGGTTCGGAGGCACATCAGACGGTGCGTGTACTCTCACGTACCGTTCGGTTCGTCCTCCCGTGAGGCCGGAGACAAAGGGGCCGCGATGAGTTTCCATGCCACTACTGGGAAATGACATGGAATTATTCTGTCAGAGGAATAATACCCGCCCCTCCCGGTCCCGGGTCGCTGCGACCCAGCGCGCCTGGTGCCCCCAACGCACTTGACGCGACGCGTGTTTAAGCCACGTGATCGTGGCCACACTATCGTTCTCGGGAATTCCCGTCCGCCTACACGGCGCCTGTGCGCTGAGCTCTTTGTCTCCGACCAACATGGTCTCCGAGAGCGTCTGGGGGGCGCATGCGTATTCTCTCTGGGAAGTGTTGCCAAGCCCACCGTGGACATATGTTTGACCCACAAGGCTCTGCTGGAGGTACTAGTTGCTGCCCTGGCGAAAACTCCGGTAGACAAAGTGACTCTGCGACGCTCTGGCAACGCCATGCTCCGCTATTGTCATCGTGGTCACTGCGTATCCGCCGACGCGCTCCAAGGTCCTTTTCCCGATTCTCGCTACAATAATGGCTCGCTGGCTGCTCGACACGGCGTACAGAGACGCGGTATAAAACACGCAGTCGATTGTCGCGAACCTTTGGCGGCCTTTCGTTCTTCGTCCGACATGTTTCCTTAAAGATTGAACTTGGTAGACGGCAGCACAGTGTGCTGGAAGGCGGTACGTGCTCATATATACCCGCTTACACTGATCTTCAGCGCGCCACAGTTACCTTTGACCATGTTGCCAAATGATGAGGAGAAGAAGACTCCGAAGTCGAAGGAAGGCCAACGCAGAAGACCGGGCGGTAAGAAGGGCAAGAAGACAGCAGTGAAGCCGGAACCAAGTGCATCCCCGAGCTTGTCCAGTGCTGCTGAGGAATTGCCGCAGCCCCCTGCTCGATACTTCCCGACTCCAAGGAATGCGTCTGCGGGTCCATCAACACGACCGGTGAAGCTGGACGCGTACGAAGAACCTGGTCCATCGACGCGACCTGTGAAGACGGAAGCGTACGAGGGACCGCAGGCTGCTCCCTTGCTCTTCCTACCGGAGGGCGCGCCCTCGAGTTCTCTCCAGCATCCCAACGTAGCTGCCGCTCTACATGCTCCACAGATTTCCCGTAATGCTCCCCATAACGCACCAAGCTCTCAAGCTACGACTTTCACGCAACCACAGCTCACGCTCACGCCACACGCCCCTCCAACGCACACCATGCAGCAACTCATGTATCTTGCCAATCTCCCTGCACCCGCAGGACCGCCCCGACCGCCGTCGCAGCCCCTCTCACCTCTCCCGCTCCCACCGCTGCTGAACTGGCCCTCCTTCGGGCAACAACGGAGGCTCGAAGAGCTGCACCGCCGACCGCCTGATCTCCCGCCCCCGCCTGTCCCTTTCTTGCTTCGCCCTCCTCAGGCTCCACCACAGTTCACAGGTGTTCCCCGGCCGAGGCCGTTGCCGCGCGCGGTGCTCCCGCTAACTCGCCTGCAGAGGGAGCATGCCGCTCAGATGCGCAGGTTACGTATGCAGAAGGCTGGCATGGGAATGGGGCCCCCGCCGGTGCCGGGCACGCGAGGCCAATCTGCAGGCAGCAACAACTTCAACGGGAATAACAGCAGCATGATTGGTCTAATGCCAGCACCGCCCAGCACGGGTGTAGGTGCTCACGCGCAAGGGCAGCTTGGCCCCATCCCGCCCTGGGGGTCGGGACAGACTGCGCGCGGGGTCTACAACTCCGCTGCAACAGCATCCGCGCACTCTCGCACTCCTGCAAATTGGCCTGCAGTCGGCACGCGCCCCGGGGATGGCGACGCCGCCGCGGCTGCTCGGTACGCCACTGTCCTGCCCACGTCCAATCCTCTCATCTTCTTACTTCACCCATACTGTATTATGTAGGTGGGCCGCGGCGAATGCGCGGTACTCCGAGCACGAAAGGAGAATGGTAATGCGTACGCACACGCAGAGTTACATGGCGCCGCTGCCGGCAGGACTCCCTTACTCCATGGCACGGCCGTCTTTTCACGCGCCGTACTTTCCCGGGGGCGCAGGACCGCCGCCGACTCGGAGCGGGGTAGGCATGCATGGTCCATCTGCTATACAAGGAACTCGGGGGGTGAGAGCACCAGTCACGCACGCACCTGCTCCCGCGGGCGCGACGCCCCCTGTACCATATCAAGCTCCTCAATTGCCGGTCGCAGGCCCAAGCAACGTCGCCCCGCCGCAGAACGCCCGTACAGTGCCGGAACCCCCGTCGGCAGGCCCGAGCACGATGCCGGAACCCCCTGCTACAAACATAAGCTCGATCAGGGATCCCGAAAGAATCGCGTTCGAAGAGGCGGTCGAGCGCAGAAGGAATTGGAATCCGGAAGCCGACATGTTCGCGGGCCACTGCTGGTATGGGTATATGGGGGAGGACGGGTTCATCCACCCGTTCTACCCTCCACGGCCTTGCGACGGCCAGTGCGAGCATCACCGTGTCCTCAAGAACGGTCTGGGGGGGAATTAGTGGTTTGCTGTGGTCGCTTTCGCTTTAGAGCTGTTGATGATCCGTCGTTGTCGTTTTCGAGTTGTTGATGATCTGCTCTCGCTATCGTCGCTTTCGAGTTGTTGTTTTTGACAGAGTACGTGTGGGGTCGGAGCCCACTGGCTTGGCGCGCCTTCCCGGAACGCGGTTGTACAACACGTTGAATATACACATATACACTATCATACAGTGAAACTGACAAGTCCGATGCCCTCCACACGCCTGCTCCTACACATCTTGCGATGCTCACGTATTCCCGCCGTTGGTAGAAGGTGAAGTTGGGCTCCGGGACGCGGAGATGCCACTACGGCTCGCCTGGCATGTGTAAGTTGATTAGCAAGGTTATGTGTGCTACTGGAGTAGAGGATCGGGACCTCACCAAGTAGTACTGAACACCGCACAACCGCATCACCTCGTTCACGTTCCTCTCGCGAGAGTTTGAGACGATTGCGTCGGTGTGGCCATACTCGTGAAGAAGCCATACGGCGTCCTGTTCTGTGGGGAGACGCATGCGTGTTGAAGATTCAGGATGCCGTTGTTAGGTACAAGGCGCCTGAGGCGTACCTGTCATGTCGAACAACTGTCCGAGCGTCACAGGGAACTTCTCGCTGACGACGCCGTTCGGGGTGACCAGCGGGAACAGCTTCAACGCCGGGTTCATCGGGAGGGTAGAATTGTGCGCGATGCTTTCCCTGAGAGGCAGCGAAAACGAAGGGAACATGATGAGATTGCTTGGTGATATTTGCATATATAGACGCGGTATTTACGAATTGTGCAGCTCGGCCTCGAGTCGTGCGAGCTCCTCCTTGTGACTCCTCATCTCCTCCTGCAGGGCCTCTGGGAGCTGGAGTGGGAGCTGCTCGCGGACTTGCTCCTGGACGAGGTCGTCGATATTCTCCAAGACGCCGGCCTCGACTGAGAAAGGATGCTATGAGCGTCCGGCACCTCACGAATCTCTGAAGAGCCGGACGAACCGATCTGCGCGAAGCTCGCAACGAGTTCCTCCTCAAAGACTTGTCGTATAAGCTCTGTGGGGACGTGTATAAGCGTTAGTGTCCACTTTCAAAGTTGACCTGGGGACTAATTCGACGCACCGTTTATCTCTTCCACCTCCGCCGCCTGCTTCTCTTTCGAAGCCTTCAACTGCTGAGCGACCCTGCACCGTGCGGCTCAACGTTGGTCACGTTGCTAGATCATATCCACTAAAGGAGCTCGTACCCGCGGAGTTCTTGATTGAAGTGCTCTTCCGCATCTCTCTTTAAGTCCTGCATGGACCCTTGAGTTAAGGATTCAAGAGTCTCCTACAGCATATGGTATCAGTATCGACTGCATTCGCGAACACCGCACTTAGGAGACCCACCCTGAGATTGGTCAAAGACTGATTGACATTTGTAATCACATTAGCGGGAGCGGGGGGTTGATTGGACGTGGAGGCCATCGCGACGAGAGGACGAATGATTGTTGGCTAAATGAAGTCTCTGGTGCGGAGGGGCCGGTGGGCGAGATGAACTAGCACAGATAGACGATAGCTCCCCAGCTTCAGAGAGATATAGTCAGCTGCGGTACACGTCCTGCGGCAAGGTGGCATATAGAAGGGGAACCTACCGGTATCTATACACGAACCGCTGGTGTGGACATCACCGCCACCGGGCGGTTGCGCTGCGGTAGCTGGTCCTCTCACGCACCACGAGCACCTATTAGTCGCCGGGCGCATGCCGTCGGTGGATTTAGTTCGAGAGAAGCTTATGCCTGACGGGGGAGAGGGCCGCGGGATGCCGAGCTTCAGAACGCGGGGAACCTAGGCATAGCGCGCTCGTCAATCATTCAGACGCCCGGAATATCTGACGCCTCGATGCAGCGGAGCTCATGCGCACACCGCTCTTACGAATAGTGTGACACGCAGCATCTCCGTTCGCGACTCATATGAAATGGTGACAAATCCTCGCGCGGGCTTCGTCGGCTTCACGCCGCTGGAGTGCGATTCTGAACTGCGGGCGAGCGGGTCCCAGCGGCTTCGGTCGGCAAACCTGGGGCATCATATAAGCCATAATTCCTGCGCGAGGAGAACGACGTACATCTATCTTCGCAGCATCAGTACCGTCTGTCACCAGCAAAAAAACGACGATGTCTGCCTCAGCACCCACGCTCAACTACTACCACGTTTACGCGCAAGACCTGCCGAACGCCCAGCGGGCGAAGCATACTGAGGCGCATCTAGTGCAGAACACGCCCCTGATTCAAAGTGGGGTCATCAGTGAGTAGCACATCCCGTTTCGCTGTTCTTCTCAGGTATTTTGGATCGCGCTACCCGGGGCTTTATATATGTCCTAACGCACTGCTGAGAGGCGCACGAGATGACCTGTGATACCGCGACGGTCTGAGCGACTGCGACGGGTTAGAGAAGTAGACACTTACTTTATTCTTTCTAGGGGCCGGGGGCGGGCTGTTGCGCCCCGAATCCAACTCGTCGGATCCCGACGCACGGCAGAACATTGTCGGCTCTTTCATCATCATCCAAGCCGAGAGCATGGAGGCTGTATGGGAGATACTCAACAAGGAGATTTTCTACACGTCCGGCGAAGTGGTATGCAGTGTCTTTTATCGCCATCCGTATCCTGGAATGACTGACGCGGCGGGCGCTGGCGTAGTGGGATCGCGAAAAACTCTCCGTGGTGCCCGTGTACGTGCCCTTCAAGGAGGCGAAGTTTGAGTAGGGCAGAGGGTGCATGTATGATATCCTGGATGTGAAGAGTCGGTGTTAGTCATGCATAGATCTGGAGAAAGCGAACGTTGATATTAAAACTCACGAAGCTTCACCCGACGCGTGATGAGAGAATGCTTCGAGACCACGGTTGAGACATGCGTGAAGAGGCTTGTCAAAGTGGTTCATGGTTTCTAACAACGTGTGGAATTGAATTTTACAGCGTGGTCTCGTTGTCTTTCCTTCCTTCCCAAGACGCATATGCAGCGCCTTCGGGTTTAAATTTGGTTAGGTTTGTCAAAGACGAGCTAGAAGTAATCCCGTGTATTGCTGCTCCGATTATTTGACACGAAGTTTCGGTTTGATACGTACCCAAAATGTCGAGAGAGATAGACGGTGGTAGATAGACCGAGTTATTTACATCCTCATGGAAAGAGAGAGAGCCGTAATCGCGCATGTGCCATGCTGCCCGACCATTACGGGCGCTTCCTCTCCGGGATACACCGGGCGTGCGTGTGAAGTGGTTCGGCTATCATAGCGCTCTTCTTCACAACACGAGGTTCCCAAACTCTCGCTGATCTTGCTTGAATTCTGACCACGAACTCTCCAAAGACGCCCCTCCTGTGTTTAAGAGAGCTTAGCCGTGGAATCTCTACTGTGGCGCATGCTTGGCCCTTGCGAGTCTGCGGATGGCGAACGTGACCACTGGCACCCCGAGTGGGACCCCGCATGCAGAGTGGCTTGGAATAGCCCTCCGACACCATCTGTCTCTCTTTCTTCCCCTCTCAAATCGTTTGCGCCAACCTGGCCTATATATCGCGCTCAAGCATGGCCTTGGAGGAAACCTCGCACTTGCTTGCAAAAATCAATGAGAAACTTGACAATATAGAGCGCTCGCAGGCGTTGTCCGACGCTGGGCATACGGCAAGAGCCAAGTTATCTTCACACACATCAAGCCGTGCTGAATTTGAAACCACAGACATATCTACGCACCAGGATGAACTCACTCGAACGGTTGCCGTCTGGGGCTAGGCGCGTGCAGCGAAATTCGGAGAACGAGATGCGTAACGTACGTTCATTACCTCTCCAAGATCCACTCAGGGGTACCAACCGTTTTTCTCAGAAAATTTTGATGATGAAAGCAGAATGCGACAACCACCAACGCACCTTGCATCAGCTCGGGGCGACCGTCACGTCCGCCAAAGAGTACGCGGAAAGATGTAAAACCGAGCGTGATGAGATCGCGGCAGCCATGAGGCGCTACAACCCAGAAGTGATTCATCGACAGGAGGAGCTACACCTTTCTGCTGAGGTGGCAGTCCGTCATAATCCTCTCGTCGGGAAAAAATCCAAGCAGCCGGCAAACATCCGGGATATTGTGCGGCAGGAGCTGTCATATCTGGTCCCGCTGAAGCCGCCGAAGAAAAAAGACGGGGTCGCGAAGGTGAGCACATATCTTTGTCGGACCCAAGTCGCTGCTGATCGCGAATGCCTCTCCAGCTGCTCGAGTTCCAGAAGTGGCTAACGGGGCGCACTATCTTCCCCGCGGCTATAGAAGGTGCAGAGGGCGCTGCGGTAGTCTCCAAAGACACCAGCCGCCTAAATTTCAACATAGTGAGCCACACTCAGCTCCCTACCTCCCGGCCGCTAATACGTATCATATAGGATGACGCCCGTCTCTGGTGAGCCTATCCGCAATCCTGTTCTCGATGATCCATTTGCTAACATCCTTCAGCCAAGACCCTGTCCTTTTCATCCACGACCGCCTCTTCTGGTGCACGCTCCCTGAGCAGCACGGCCTCCTCGTCTGCCCGGAGTTCCAGTACGGTCCGAGCCTCGCGTACTCGGGCGATATCTGGACGAAGATCGCCGAATGGCGCGCGTGCGTGGAGCAGAAACGCGAGGTGTTCTACGAGCGCGACGGACTTGTGCACTATGCGGGGACGTACATCTGCCACTCCGGTCCCTCCTCGCTGCAGCTCAAGGAGCTCGGCAAACTCAAGACCGAGGTGAGCCTTCCCGTGCCGCGCATGTACGCATTGTGCGCTGACTCGCAGCATGCGTAGATCCTGGTCAGGGCGATCGCGCGGGAAACACGGAAAGCCAAAAAGAACAAGAAAGCCGAGCGCGAGCTGGTGACGATCGAGCAGCTCTATCGCGAGGGCGCCCTCACTGTGCACGTCCTAGGGCTCGAGCGCATCGGCTTCAACAGTGCGCTCTACACCCGCCTCGCGTCGCGCTACCGCAAATCCCAGCCGGCTATACCGCGCGCGCCCATCGTCCCTGTACAGAACAACGATCTTCCGGAACCCTACTACGAGGCTGACGATCTTCCGGAGCCGTACTACGAGGATGACGATATGCCGGAACCGTACCACGAGGAGGATGATCTCCATGAACCGTACTACGGGGCCCCGCCGGTACAGCCCGCTCCCATGGCAGACCGCAACCACTGGTACTACGGTGCCCAGCAGGTCCCAGTCGCTCCCGTCCCAGGCCCTAGCCACGCGCCCTACGTGGCTCCCCCGACGGCGCCTGTCGCGGGCCCCAGTCGCGTGCAATACGCGGCTGCGCCTAGAGCGCCCATCGCGAGTAACCTCATCCCGCCGCCGTCCTACATTGCGAACATCGCACAGAAGTGGCCGAAGCGCGCGCGCGAGGACGATGGGTTTGACCGGCTCGAACGGGCTGCGAAGTACGGCCGGGCGTCGTCGTCGGACTATGGCAGGGAGAACGACGAGGGGTACCTCTTCCACCTGGGGAGCAATTACTATCGGGATACGCTGGGGGATGATGATTACTAGTGAACGACTCGGACGCGGCGAACTCGACTTGATTGGTACGTTCTTTTTCGCGATCGACTTGCACGTCCGATGCAGAGGCTCACAATCGTGCATCAACTCCCCTTGTAGCTCCTCGACACCCTAAACTTTACAATAACATCAAACCTATACTATCGCGACCCAATTGCTTCAAGCCTTAGTACGGCACTTAGGTCTACGTGCTAGTTCATAACTTATCGTCTACTTATGTTCGCGCCCGCCACATGTATCCCTCGAAGCCCCGTATCAATTACGCTCTCATTTGAGACCTCACGCGCAGTTTTCACAACTCGCATTTGGTTGCTCGGTGAACGTTAAAAAAACGACCGACGGCGCTCGATCTAGAAGCGCGAACTTTTCGGCGCTTATGTGGACGATGGGCGCGAGAGACGCGCTCGCCTGGCTTCTCCTACCCCCACTCTCCTGCTACCACCATGTTCCGCGCTCTACCAATAAGACCCACTTCGTCTCTGCGAAATGCTTCACAGAAGTCTGGCTTCTCACAAACCCGTGCAATGTCTGCCGCGCCGCCACGCCACAAGTTCATCGTGTACGCGCCCGACATGACCGACGAAGGCGCGCTGCAGCGGCGGCTCAGCGTGCGCCCTGCGCACCTGCAGCGCGCGAAGGAGGAGATCGCGAAGGGTGTTATCAGTACGTTTCTCTCCTGCCAGCGCGCGTCGCAGCCGCTGGGGTTGACACTGGAGTAGAGGTGGCGGGCGCGATGCTCACGCCCGCGTCGATCGCGTCGCCCGACGCTGAGAAGGAGATGGTCGGGTCGGTGTTTATCTGCGAGGCGGAGAGCTTGGACGCGGTGCGCGAGCTTATGGAGAGTGATGTATACCATACGGCCGGCGTGGTAAGTGTCTTTAGCTTGGGTGTTCCAAGCGATGCTGGGCTGAACGGCAGATCCGCCTTCAGTGGGATAAGGAGAAGATGGTTATCCTGCCGATTGCGCTAGCCACAGAACTTCCCTGAAGACACGATATTTGAGGCCGCCACATAAATTCGCGGTCAGATGGTTTTATACCTTGCGAGCCGAAAGGGCGCAATACCTCTGGCGGAGACTTGCATAACGCGTTTTGCTGCGTCTATCCTATCCCTCGTAATGCTTTAGGGGCGCGTGCGGCGATGTATCACACCTGAGTGCTATGCGCAATTCATGTCTTCCCCGATCTTTCAAACTGGTCGGCGGCCTGCGTGTGATCGAGTATGATCGAGTACTTGTATTGCGAGATACTAAAATACTGGAGGCGTCTGGTAACTATGAGGCCACGGAATGCTACAAAACAAGACAAAAAGAAATACAAAACGGATGCATCACATCTCGGAGGACGCCTCAAACAATACAACGGATCCGCCCAGTCTGTAGACAACAAGAGTTCCTCGCACCCGCTAACGCTCGGAGGACTTCAAATGCACGTACATACAGTCTCATTCTCTCACGTACCGGAAGCATCTCCACAACCCCATACCCACACTGCTCTCTCTCTCCCCTTCCAGAAACATAACGAGTACGAGGAACACCGTCCACCCCCGGCCGTTTGCGCCTCCTGAGGCACATCGGCAGGGCTGGCTGATGCAGCACGCAGGCATGGAAGAGGATCACCGCCCGCGCCAGCAACTTGAAGTTGTCCCCCCAAACTGCCCTTCGCAGCTCGGAGGTAAGAGCCAGTGCGCCAGTCCCGACTCGACCTGCCTGGACTGACGACGTTCTGCGCTAGACTCAGATATCGACAGTCGCGGCATGTCATTCCTCGAGGGTGCAATAGCCTGGCGCATGTTCATGCGTGTGGCGGCGTGCGACCGAGCCTTGCCAGATGCGAGCTCCGCAAGGATGACAGCGGCCTCGCTGCGGGGCGAGAATCCGGGCTGCGGAGGCATGGGCAAGTCCGCTCCACGGGCTGTAGGTGCAAACGCAGAGCCTTGAGGTGCGCTCCAGCTCCCTTGATATGTAAAAGCCATCTCCGGCGCTGCGGGAGGGTCGAAGTAGAAGGACCGTGGAGGTGTCCAGCCAAAAGTGAGAGGAAGCGCTGGTGGCGTAATCCAGTCGAGTCCCGACAAGTCGCCCAGAGACTTGTATGCAGCGCTCATAGATGAGGAGAGCAATGGTACGGGGCGGGAGTCTCGGATTCCGCCAGGGAAGTAGCTGGTACAGGAGGCCCGGGAGTCCTCGAACACGCCGCCGTAAGGGTGACCCCCGAGACTCGTGAACGTGGGCGGCAGAGGGTCGGGGAGAAGACACTGGTCGTGAATGAGGCGACACAGTTGCACGAAGCGATCGACTGCGCGCGGGTCGGCCTCGTCGAAAATCCGCGAAACGGTCCTGGGAGTCAGCGCCTCCAGCAGTGGCGCCACGCTGTCCGCTGGAGGCGAGTCGACCAGCCACTGAGGGCGCATGTTGTACGAATACCACGGCGTAGGCGCTAATATAAGAGGCGTAGGCTCTGCTATGAGAGGCGCAGGCTCCACTATAAGAGGAGACCGGTCGATGTCGGGGGAGGGAGAGGGAGAGGGAGAGACATGACCGCAGGGCGGCTGAAAACCTTCCTCGTCGTCATAGCCACACGCCGCGAGGAGGGCCTTTGTGAGGGGGACGAGGCCCCTGGCCAGAGAGTGCGCTATGAGATCGTCACACATCAGCTCACAACTCGGTGAAAAGCTGTAAGATCCCGTAACATGTGGGTAGCCCCTCGGCCACCCCGTAGCGGCTTTCCGACCCCTTCCAGCTGTGGCGGTGGCGACTCCGTGCCCGCCACCGGATGAGGATGGCAGACAAGAGGAAAGAGGGATGTCCTCGGAGGAGCCAGACGCAGAGACTCTGGGTTCTAGCCCGGGTAGCAGGTGGACCTTGGAGGCGAGAGCGTCGAGAGCCGGGGACTCCGTGAGCGTTTGCGGGACGTCTTGGTGCTCTTCGGTCTCCCGCTTGCGCGGCCGCTTCTTCGGAGGCGGCTGGGACTGTACATCAGGTTCCTGCTCCGAGTTTCGCTGTCGTCGCTTCGTCGCCTGCCCGTCGTGGTCCTCCCTGCGTGGCACTGAGTCGCCTTGAGGGCGAGCAGCGGGCTTGGGCGCACGCCTGGCCTTCCGCGTGACATGACGGCTCGGTAAAAAGGTGTGTGGGCTCTCAATGACGATGGCGAAGCCTGGTGTGTCGGGTGTACCGCGCGACTTCGAGGCGGTTGATCGTTTCTTAGAGGGGGTGGCCTTTGGTCTGGTCATGGAAAGACTGCGATGAGTGGTTGTTCGATGTAGAGAAATGAGAAACCGGTTGGGTGTGTAGAGATGAGGCGAGGATTTACCGGTCGGGTCCTACTATGTTGCATTTGTGGCGGTTGCTTGTGGAAGCCATGCGGCAGCAAAAGGCATGGCAGGCGCATCCCAGAACCCTGTACACGTACAGCCTAGTGAATGGTATGTGGACGCCGGCGAAAGAAGCACATGTAGCGTAAGCCTAGACGGAAAATGATGTGCTGCGAGGAAGACTAGGGTCGTGTTTCCGGCGCAGTTCAGCAACACGAAGGGTCAGCGACGGGGACCTGCCTCATGAAGCAAGGGGGTTCCTAGACTGAGATTTATGTCAGCGGGGCGATGAGGGGTGGGAGTTCCATGGCGCACAGCTTATCAGAGGAACACCCCAGCAGCGCGTGAGTCGACTGAGGTCAGAACCTTCTGTGGAGTCACGGCACGACGACTATCCCGGACTCGGAAGGAGCGTATGGAGAGTAGGCGGCGCTGAAGTTAGCGCCAACATCGACATCTCAACATCTAGGAATTGGGGAGTGTGATGTCAATTGTATTGCGGTAGGTGCCGGGCGCTGGCCATGTTCCTAGGACAAATGCGTGGGTGATATCAGTGAAAGGCACTGTCGTGAGAGCCGTGACTCACTGGTTACGACTTGAACCGCGTAGTAGTGGCTGTTCACTCATGGGAAGGTGGGTTCTCTTTCTACCGAAACATACGGCGTCCTCAGTGAAGGAAGTCAGAATCATAATTTTCACTCTGCTTCCGACAGTGGACCCTTACCTATGTTCATGTACATGCCATTCTGCAATTTGATGTCTCATTATTAGATAGAGAATACCTTCGTTCTCGCCCCAATGTACATGTCGACACGTTAGCCATTCGGAACGCAGCAGAAGGTGGACAGACAAGTTGGCGGCATCACGGCAAAAACAAGCGCCCTTGCCACGCTGTGGTGATGCACCGACAAACAAGGCCAATCAACTCCACGTGCCGAAACTCTCAGGCTCAGGCTGGCTCAGGCTTGTCTTCTGATTCGCTGACACTCGAAGCCCCCGCCGTCTCAAACCCTTCTCAGTGACGTTAGTACTATGCCCAGAATTCCAGGCATCGTATTGACCCCGCACCTTGTGAACGTCGAGGATACTCAAGTTGTCCTCATCTCATTCGCATCGGCAGATACGAACGTCGATATCTGGCGCGCGGATTACAGACGGCGCTCGTGAGAGCCACGCGCGAATGAATACAAGACGCTTCGCGAAAATACAAAAGGTGACTGGTAACCACGAGGCAACGAGACGCTACAAGAGAGAGAACATAATGAACATAACACGTCTCGCGATACAACCGAAACAATACAAAGGGACTGTCCAGACGACTGAAGACAATAAGAACACATCGCGACCGCTAACGGCGGCCGCAACAAGAATCGAAATCCGCGTATATAGAGTGCCGTTCGTCCTCAACACTGCAACTTTTCCGCAGATCTACTACCCTCCCACAGTACTGCTTCCCGCTCTGGCCGGAAGGCCGCAAGAAGTACGGGTGGTAACGCCTGCTGCGAATGCAGCCTGCGAGCATCGCAGGGCGTACCCCTCCACAGCCTCGTAGTCAAGGTAAGTTCCAGTACGCCAAAGACGACTCGGTTTGTCCTCGCTGACGATATCCTTGTGACCCTCCCGCGCTGGCAAGGCCAGACATCGGCGCTGGCGGCAAGTCATTTCGGGGTGTGGCGGACTGCCCTGTGGGAAGCGTGTCCTCTTGCCATCTAACGACGCCGTGCGCAGGCCCATGACCGAGCCCAACATGGGCGGAAGCGGCATATGCACGGGGAGAAGACGAGTTGGAATTATGCGAGGCAGCCGTTGATGTGCGCGTGGAGGAACCGCCATCTGCAATGGAGGCGGACGCCACATTACTCGCAGGTGCGTCCCAGTTTCTAGGTCTTGCGATAGCCATCGTCTCCGAGAGAGAAGGCCACTGAGGGGCCGTCTGAGGGTAAAACGATGGCGGGGGTGGCGCAACGAAATTCGCTGCAATGTTCCCCGACCGACGCGTCCTTGGGCGCGGAGGTGGAGACATAGCGAGCTCCAAGCGATGCCTATAGTAAGCGGCAGCTCCTCCGACGGGGCCGTGTGGGTGCCCGTCAGAAATCGCGGCGGCAGATGATTGGGGGATCGTTACCGAAGAGCCCGTTGTGCCGAAGGTCCTCATTCGCCTAAGACGGTCATCTTCGAACTGAGCGAGAAACCTGGCGTACGCCGCCTGAGAATTCTCAAGAGGAATGAAGGACCCGTTGTAGGGATCGGAGAGAGGGCTGATCCCGCTGGTGGGCTGCGACATCGTCGCGAGATGCAGTGGTGGCGACATGCTCCCCGATGAGGACGTGTCGACGCCCGGCGCCCACGGCGTGTCAGGCCATTGACTGGCAGCACTGACCGTATACGCACCCTGTCCCGTCGGGATGAGAGCGTTGGAGTAAGGGGACGCGGAAGAGGAGGCGGTCCATGGCGAATGCGAATCCTCGCCACCAAACGTGGAATGAGCCAGAGACGGAGTCACCGATCCTAGGCCAAGTCGACTCTCCTGCGTCTGTGACGTCCCGGCGGCACTCGGCTGGAATGAGCTAGTGGCTGCGAGATGGGAACCAAGAGAGGCTGGGGTTGTCGCCGTGATATAGGGAGCTCCTGCAGGGACCACACCCGACCCATGGTCTTCGAGAAACCTCTCGCCCTCTGGCGGTGGCGGCGTGAGGTGAATTTCGCGGTCGTGTAAGATATCCGGCCGAGACGTTGGAAACGTTTTCACCTCCTCCCGCCACTGCAAGCGGCGCTTTCTCTCGTCCCTGCATTTGGGTTTGAGCTTCTGCTTCTGCACAAGCGACCTGCCACCCCGCGGGAACGCCTGGCGAGGGTGGGCCGTCGTAACCAGAGCTTGATTGGCACTCGGCGAGGGTGCGATACCACTGCCGCCGGACGCCTGAAGGTTGCTGCCGCTAGGGGCTGCATCCTGGCGCTGGGCGGGGGCGACGGGGTCGCCGGTGCGATCGACAGGTTCTCGTTGGGGAGACTTGCACTTCGACCGCTTGTTCGACGTCGGACTGGCCTCGCGCTGCTCGTAGTCAGAGAACTTCCGCTTGCGCGACATGACGAGGCAGAGAAGACGACGACTGAGATGTGTATGGTAAGACTGGGGGTAAGACGAGTGTGAGCTCGATGACGGTTCAAGAAGACATACGACCTGAGGGATCTGTGGAGGCTCTCTGTTGGGAGCCTACGTACGCTCGGCCGCAGAGCGCACCGCGGGCGCGTCCTAGAACCCAAATGTCGCACAGCCCAGGAACTGCTAAGTGGGTGCCCTAGGAGCAGAACACATGTTCTGCTGTTTATTCCGGACTGATTTGACTTGAGGCGAATGTGGTGTTTCTAGCGGAACTCAAGATCGCGGGGGAACTAGCTGACCTGCCGCAAAGAGACATGAGGGGCTGCGCTGATCCAATTCGGCGTGGGCGGGGCGGTGGAGAGTGGGAATATGGCAGCGTACACAGGCTTATCGTGGGGGGCCGCCCATGTGCGAAGCCAAGTCCGGAGCATCGCAGAGTCACGACAAGTCAGGGCCTTCAGATCTCAGAGCGGCGATGTGAGCATTCCGAATGGGAGGGGCTATTTGGGAAGCACTTAAGCCGCCAGATCTGCGCTCGCATTCACATCTCGTCATCCGGAACCCAGGAAACGGGATGCCCACTGGGGCAGCCCTTCCAGGGACGCATGCCACGTTCCTAGAGCGTGTTCGTATGTCAGGTGGAGGCAGCGTGAGAGAAAACAGCTCACAAGCATGGGCTTACCGAATATCCTGTGCACGGCATAATCGTGGAAAGCACAGGGGAAAAGGCGGTGGTGTCCTTCGTTCGGCCTGAGGGTTCGAAAGTACCCTAGTCATGTTGAGGTGCCGGAAATTGCGAGTACTCGGACTCGGAGTAGAGGATAAGAACTCCCCAGCAGTGTTCAGCGCTCCGCATAGTCTGCGTCCGCTGTCCGTGTGAGGCGCCAGTGTGTTGCCGTCACTGTCGAGTGTGATCCTGGCTAGTGAACGATGCGGCAGAGTACGAGGTCGTCCTCAGCCCTTGATGCGGCAAAAAAGATGCCGCCATAAGCCTATAACTTGAGAGTATTTTGCGGAACCCAGCTCTTGCGATATCCGTCGTCGTCGTCGCGGACGACGAAGACAGGCGCTTCCTCCAGCGCTCCTCCAGCCACGCGTCCTGCGGCGATACACCAACAAACAAAGCCAAGCACTGCCGCGGGCCGCCGCACCAACTTCCATCTGGACTTGTCTTCTCCGTTCACCCATTTCCGCATATCGTCGCAGCCATATGCTCGTAACTCTACAATCAGATCCCCCTATGGCCTTTTTCAGCTCGAAGTCAGGTCAGAGGCTGGGATATCTGAATATTCACTGGTGGACCTAGAAGTTCACAGCGCCTAGGAATTACGCATCGAACCTGTGCTCGCCTGTGCTCGCAGGAACGCTTCCTTCGCCATGTTTGGGAAAGTTTTTCCGAGTCGTTTGCAGCTCATGATCATACAAACTGACTTGGTCTGGTTCGGCCAAGCTATCGAGGGGGTTTCAGGCGTGAAAGCGCCTTTCTCTCATAGTGGCAAGCAAGGCGTTTGTCCACATTGCTGTTGAACAACGGTGTTTCTGGAGCCACTACAACAATGTCATGCGCGTATATAAACGTTGCGGGCGTGCAGCGGAGGGACACAAAAGTATTTCGTGACAAGCTTTGCCTGTGTTCTGCAGACACCGCATGCGCCATCCTTCCAAACGCACGAGAACGCCACGCCGCACTGAAGACCTATGTTCCAGCTGCCTCCCACCTCCATACGCCGGCATGTGTCTTGCCTATCCCGATCTACACCTCATCATAGCCATATTCGACGCCCCTGGCAGCAGGTACGTCGATCCAGTGCTTCCGTGACCTACGTAGCTCATGTGTTCTTCCCTGCAGCTCTTTTCTGGATTCATATCAGTCGCTGCGAGACAGTCAATGGGGTGCACTCTAGTGCACCCCTTCGCCACTTTTTCCAGACGCGAGTCAGTGAGTGATGATCCGAGCGTAGCACGCATTCGATAGAGCTGATCTAGCTTTACTCGCGCAGAATTCTGCTCCGGCGCCTTTATGATTAACGGCGGAGCTGAGTCGTTAATAGCACGGGAGCCGGGGATTGTGTTACAGACCTTGGGGTCCAACAGCACAGAGCTGTATGGCCCTTATCACCTATTCTTTCATCTGTGCTTGGGTCAAGTGTTCCACCATCACCACCCGTGCACACTGCAGGTAAGTACAGCCCCATTCTGTAACTGTTCCAGCTCCAGTGAAGCCCTGACTGACATGATGGCTACAGGGTGCGATACCTCCGCCGTTGTGTTGTTAAACTGAGTGGACATTCCGCCAAGCGCTCTCGGGCACTCATGCAAAATTGCCCTTCTTGGATTCCCCTTCACGCAGAATCCTGCACGCTCATGGGACGAGGCGTTGAGGAGGTCATAGGTGCAAGACAGCGCCTCGATCCGTCGACCTTCGTAATCCGATATTTGTCTTCGTGCTTGTAGAAGTCCATAACATTGCCTTATACAATGAACCTCTTTATGATGCTGTACGCCGCCTTCGTGTGTTAGCAATAACGATACGACGCTCATTCACAACGAACATCCCCTGCCGGCTTGAAGCAACGGTACTATATCCTTGATAGCGTACCCAGGGAGGCATCCCGTATATCACAGATAATGGTACATGATGGTATACTTCGACTACTTCCTCTTCATGTTTGGTGATGGCTGCACCTTGTGGCGCCTTCAAGAAAGCAGCTTGGGCGAGACGAACGGCCGGATGACCGTCTTCTCCTTGTCCCACTGGAAGTACCCGCTCGCTTAGATGATGTACAAGCCTGCAAAAGACTCTACGCACGACGTTCCCTGTCCAGTATACGTCTTCCTCGATCATCTTCTTCGCGTCCTCGTAGGTATCGCACTCGAGGATCATGAAAGATCCAATCATCTTCTTCTCCACGTCCGGCTTGTCGAGGGCGTCATTCGGAGACAACATGGCACCTCCGACCTCTGTGCCACATCCACCGATAAGCGAACTCGACATGTTCCTCACAGTATGATCCACGTACTCATAGACGGGTTCTTCGCCGCCGTGTCCAGGTGCGTCTGGCGCACCGCCAGCCGGCGCTGGACGGCCTCCTCGTCGGTGTAGTCGGGCGCGTAGATCGAGAACAGCGGCATATGTCCTATGACAAAAAGACAAGGATGTAGAGCAGAACAAAGACAGGAAACCGACGTGTATTTCAGGAAATCCTTCGGCCGCCGTGGACGGTCCGCTCGAAGTCAGAAGGGGCGAGCGAGAGCATGTCGAAGTCCAGAGCGATCAAGAGATTAGATAGACGCCAGCCCCTACACGCTAAAGTGCCCGAGCCAGTCCGCGCCGCGCTCTTGGTCAGCGCGAGCTCGCTGTCTTCCACGACGACCACGACCATGCACGCGACGTCCTCAAATCATCTCCTGCGCTCGTTTATTTCTTCGCCCGCACGATGCGTGCGTAGTGTGCCGTCGCTTGCGTGGAGGCAGTCGTCGTCGCAAGCTGCTGCCCCGGTGTCGTCATTGTCATCTGCTCGTCCCCCATCTTACCGAGCAGGGCATGCACCACGCCGGACGTTCGTGTCGACATCCTCTGCACGCGCTGTACACGCACAACAACCCCCAGCACACCGTGCGGAACTCGTCTCGTACCCTTCACCCTCATCACTACAACAAGAGGACGCGGACGAGGACGAGCCGGATGTCGAGTTCATACCGCCAGAGGAGGCGGCCTTGGAGTTGACTGATAGGGCTGCTGAGGTGAGCGACATGTTATAGCATGCGTATAACACTATTCTGACATCTATCAGCGATTACGAGATGTCGCTCAACGAGAAGGAAACACTGCAGCCGCTCTACGGATCGCAGTAGAGAGCGGGGGGTGCCATGGGTACCAGTACAAGATCGACCTTGCGAAGAGCAAGGAGCTGGACGACTAGTGCGTACTGCTCTCTCGTTTCGCAGTCTTCGCAGTGACTATATGCACGCAACAGCCACTTCTCCCATCCCCGTATCAAGCCTTCGAATGTCTATGTCGACGCCGTGTCCATGACGCTGCTGAAAGGCTCGACGATAGACTTCGCCACAGAGCTTATTGGGAGCAGTTTCAGGGTGGTGGATAATCCACAGGTACGCCCGAGTCTACTTCGGTGGCTGTATGCGCTTATTTGCGCGAGCCTCTCACGAAATGACATACTCATGCTTCTCGTAGGCGAAGGGCAATGGCTGCGGCTGCGGCGTCAGCTGGGAGCTCAACCTTTGAGACGCTCTTAGGCCATCTAGGCGAGCGCATGGCTCGCATGGCTTACGGACAGATCTAGAAGATGACAGTATGCGTACATGTACCAGGTATAATACACCCACACCACCTTACTCTACACACATTGCCATCCTTCGTTGGCTTCGCATCCCACCGCGCGCGGAGAAGCACAAAACTCGGACGTATCTTTCAGGCGGTGAGTTCGATACACTCGGAAGCTCGGTCCTGTGAACCCACTGAAGCTTCATCCACGGACATCTAATGCATCTGCAGGCTCCACTGAAACTATGTGCTCTTCTCATTCTGGCTACTTCTTGTTCGACCCCTCAGGCCTGTGAACCCAGCTATACAGTCTCTGTGGTCCTTTCGGCCTTTCACTATGGATCTGGCGCTGCAACTGTGATCTATTCCTCAACTTGTGCTCGTTCAGCCGACCCCTACTGGATATTCCCCCTCCCGATGAGGACCGGCACAATGGACACCTTCTCCGTATCCCACTGTGCGTTCGGACGATTATGAGACTTCAACCGGGGCTGTAGTTCGCAAGTGAAAGTACGCACCACACCGTTTTCCCAATACGGGTCCACTTTCAACAGTTCCCAGATTTGCTCGGTGCTGTCCGTTTGGACGATCGCCCACGATCCCCGAACGTGCGCCACTGCGTTAGCGTCCGTGGAGACAACATCCGGTGAGAGTTGTGCTCCCGCCGCCCCTGTCCCGCATCGGCTATAGCAGAACGCATATAGCGAGGTCGTGTGAGTACGTACGGATAACGCCGCTTTGGATAAGGGCACCCTGTTGGTGTCCCGCGTTGTTCGCCTTGAGCGCTTCAATGGAGTCCGCCAGGTGAGGGATCGTGATGAGGAAGTAGTTCTTCGCCGACATTGATGTTGATAGACGTGCGGTAGCTAAGATGAGGGGTGGAGGTGATGTTCTACTACACTACCTTCCTGAGCTCGCCTTTATAGGTACGGCCGCCGTCTCTATGCAACATCAGAATCGGCCCCCTTCGTGGCTGAGTAATCGTAGCGCGCCGGGGTGGAAGCCAAGCAACCTCGGTCAGTACCTATCGACTGACCAAGCCTTCGGCGCGCTGACGATACTGATCAGTGTGCATAATACAGCGCCCTTGGATACTCTGTGTATGGCAGAATCTCTCACACTACCACCTCGCGTGGAAGCAAGTCCGTCGCCGAGGCTACACGTGGAGCAAACTGGAAGGCCGCAACGCTGCCCGGTCGCGATGGTCGCGATCCTCCTGCCTATCAGACGATCCAACCGCACGCCCTTACTACGGAATCTGAAGACGCATGGCGTAAAGATACATTTTAGGAGAATGTTCAGCACGTGGAAACGACATAGGCGAGGCACATATGCTACATAGTGTCAGGTGAGCGCATCATAAGACGAATAGGTCCAGGCAATGTCCAGGCAATATTTTAACGACATCAGAGCGCAAATCCAGCCGACCTGCATGCGGGGCACAGGTCCTGAATGTACCATGCTGCCAAGTGCCGTCAGTTACGCGTACACCCGCAGCTTTTTGGGGGACTCACGTTCTGCCCGTTCGGGCTCCTGGCGTCTGCACGAGGAGTGAGCGACGCGCTTCCATAATCGAGAGAAGACTGGGCTTACCCTTGGTAGCAGGTTTGTGCGCATCGTGGCCCTGTGCATGTATTGGGGTGCATCGGACTGAGCTTGCAGTTGGGGGCGCGACACTGGATCTGTAAAATGGCTAACGTTAGCCTCTGCGGGGGCGCCCAGTAATCGTATTCCGACTAACCGGGACCCACTGGAATGCGGCAGTAAGGTGAGCACTCCGACAATATGAATGAAAAGCGGTGCAGCTCACGTCTATGGCGTTGTGGTGGCTAGTGGCTCTATACTCAGCGACGCCCACGCGATGCCGTCAGAATGGCAAGAGACGTACCACAGATATACACGCTGCTCCCTGTTGTTCGGACCAGCTAAGCGAGCGGGCAATATGGGCCGGAGAGATGACTCACATGCGTTTCCAGCACATATCGATGGGGGTTCGCTCGGAAGATGTTCGCTTTTTGTGAGGAGGGGAGTTGTGGCTCGAGAGACGATGGGGACCGTGGCTGGCTTCACAGAGCCATCCTCTTATACCGCCAGGTACGCCGTCTTCGCATTGCGGATGTGCACTCGGCGTTGTCGACGCTCATTTTTCACAAGCGCTGTCTTCACCGGACCATGAACGTGTCGTGTGCGACGCGCCCATCGGTGTGGCGTTTAACCAAAGCGAGCCATGGTAAGTCTTCCGTTTAGACGCTTCCGGGGCCCACTACCCATCAAAGCTTGCACCTCCGTGCAGCGGAATGCTAGAGCGCAGCCTGCGTCTCACTGGCCGATTGCAGTTTCTCTGGTCGGACGTACGCCTTGGTTGGCGTCATGAGTACCGCTGCAGCTCCTGCACCAAACGGCCGTCTCCTTGGACCCTAACTGCTCGTACATCGAAGGCGGTCGCACAGAATCCGGACATTTGACGAGTCAGTAAATCCAAGTATATCCACCCCTTCTTCGCATCAGTCCCTGAACCATATCTCTCCAGGTCGTGCGACGAGAATGTGGAACGGCTCTTACCCGTTTTGTGCTACACACCGTCTACCCTGACCTATGGACTGCTTCTGCCCTTCGTTCATTTCGCCTCTGGGCACGTCAGATACACTCAACATACGCGGGAAGGGGAGAGGGTACGCCACGTTCTCTCAGGCATACGTCACCTCAAACAAGGCCGACTGGCGCTACAGACGACAATTCGTTGACAGGCCTTTGCGGAGTCGCACTGCCAGACCCACATTTACCGCCCAATACCATCGGCGAGCGACGAGCCCGAACCCCTATGTCAATGTGAGCACACACTCAGACGCGTGTCTCCGCGCCCGGCTTGCATCTACTATCCGGCCATCGTCGGTCGTGTCTGACTGTTCCGTCGCTCGGTCCCATTAGTCGTGACCCCGCCAGCACGCTAAGCTGCAAAAGACAGGTACCACTATAGTTGCCGGGATGAAGCTTCGGGACTACTAATATCGATAAAGCTCATAGATTGCCTATGCACATGGATGCAGCCCAGAAGCGCCCTCTTGGCGTACCTCAAGGTCACCCGCGATTCGTATACCTCCGCCGGCGGGCCATGGGGCTTCTATCCATCCGCACGCCCGACAATGACGCTCCGCAAGGTCCTGCATGGTGCGCACAAATCGATTAGGGCAACGTTTTTGGCTTCTCCCTTGTGCTCTGCTCTGCGATCAAGGAGACCGATCCGGACTACAGCCAACCAGCCTCACGGCTTGGGCGCAATTGCCCTCATTCGTTTCATCCTGACCGGAGCGTCAGTTCCGCACCCGAACCGCCCGCACAACCGACTCCGCTCGCTTACACGGACGAGGCTCGCCGCAGGAAGTTACGAAACCATCCTGGGAGGAGGCTCTCAGTACGGCGCAAGGCTGAAACGCTACTCTTCGCCACAGTGTGTTTTGTGGCTCTGCCGTAAAGCCATGCGCGTCTCCTCTCGGAGGTCCAGCCATGGTTGGTTTGTGTGCCGCAAGCGTCATGAGGTGCTTGAGCTTACATCCTATACATGGCGCGGCGTTGTTCGTTTGAAAGAGGTGTGTAGCGGGACGACTATATACCTGTCTGCTCTTCTACTACGTGCATATCCATCTAACTAGTCAAATCATAGCGATCAAAGCCCCCTTGAAGGACGGGGTTGCTCTAGGAGTCATCGCGCATCTCCGCCAAAGTATGGCCACGACTGCAAGCCCCTGTGACCGGACAACCAGCGCAAATTATAGCCGGTGCGCTGTGCGTTCCGCTCCGCGCTCGGCGTGCATTAATGTGCACGCACGTACCCCGTCATCTAGTGCCGCATGCAAAACGCGCCGCGGACCGTGCACGCCCCGCCCGAGTAACAAAGTGCCCGGAGGCGGCCAGGTCGCTGCTGATGTTATCGCGCAGCGTTTGATCGAGGAAACGTGCAGCACGGTGAGCCCCTATCGCGAAAATGCGTTTCATATGGCCCAGGTGAGTGGCTTGGACAACGAGTGCGGCCGAGCCCCCATGCGCTGGTCAAGTCCGCCGGAGGTTAGCGCGCGCATGGCCTCTGAGAAGGCATGCACGCGTTACTTCATCGCTCCTGCGTGGTGGCTTTCATCATACCTGAATGCCGTCGTCCGCGCCAAGCCCCTGGACGTACGCATGTTCTACCCGTTCATTTCGTGGGCTACGCCTTTTCCTCGCCTCCACACTTCTACACCGCGTACCCCCGCATCCACTGATGCGCTGCGGATTCATATGATTGCAGCGATGTGGACTGGTGAGCTTGGCAAGCAAAGGCGGACCCGTAACTGCGACAGAGGTGCGTCTCGTCTGACTACCTGGGACCCTTTGCTAAGTTCATATCCTCTTCCCTTCACGCGTAGCTGTCGGAGTCGAAACAAAGGCGGGTAGACGATTTCATATGGCCCCGGGATGCTGTAATCCGGTGCGTAGATCTCGATATTCTTCGTGCCTTCGGACGCCAGGTCTGCTCGCTGTTGACATATCCGGTATCTGCAGTCGAAGCTGCATGTATTGTCAACCAGAATGCACCTTCTCAGGGAGAGGGCATGTGTTCTATGCTCGCATACCGAGTGTGTTGTAATCATTGTGACTACCCCTAATCGATGCGTAGTTTTACTATTTTGCAATCTGGTCATACGACTGAGGGGCCGCCTTCACCTCGCCGTCACGGATAGAGCCAAGTCTCCGTCGTTGCACGCAGATGCTAGATGTCCTGTTGTGAGAAGCCTACAGTTCGAGAACTTATGCCACCATCTAACCGAATAACTGTGCGCCCGTACGATATACCGACCAGCATAAGGGAATATCACCCAGTCGTAGGCGCCTCGGAGACCGCGCAAGAAGTCCTTGAACGGTTCGCGTCGTTGGTCTCCCGCAGCCGGAATGCGGTCCTAGTTCACACCTTTGTAAGCCGTCAGCGAGCTTCTACACGGGCGGACGAACACCGCTAGCTCCGGTCGGCAATCCTGGGGCACATACATATAAGCCACGTACGTCGCCCAAGGTGAGAGACGTGCACCTGTGCTCACCATAGTCTCAGCCTCTCTCGTGACACGAATAAAACAATGTCTGCCCTGCCCGTGCTTAACTTGTACCACGTTTACGCCCAAGACAAGCCCGGCGCGCAGCGTGCGAAGCACAAAGCACAGCACCTTGCGCAGAATACGCCCCACATGCAGAGCGGGTTTATCCGTAAGTACCGCAGTACCCAGGTTCACTTCACTCGAGCACTGTGGAACGTGTATGACTGCCTGCGGTGTCCGAGTGACGATGACATCTTCGACGTATGCAAACAACTATAACTTACACAGTTTCTCAGGGGTCGGAGGCGGGCTTCTGCCCACCGATGTCAAGTCGACCGATCCCGGCGCTGAGGAAAAGATCGTCGGCTCGTTCATCGTCGTCAAAGCCGAGAGCATCGACGTTGTATGGGACACACTCAAGAAGGACATCTTCTACACTTCCGGCGAGGTGGTACGTGGCGATATTTCTTGGCTTCCGCGAAGGCGTGGAAGGGAGGACTGATATGGGCGTTGTCACGACAGTGGGACCTCGATAAAGTATGCGTCACGCCGGTGTTCGTTCCTTTCAAGGAGGCCAAGTTAGCCTAGGGAGAGAAGATGACGGATGTACAACAGCACACCTGAAGCGCAACTATCAGCTATGTATTCAGACTAGCCAATCTCAGAAGACCATACGAGAACAGAATATTTAGTTACCGTGGAGGGCATGACGCGCGCGATCGCGCAGAGAACGCTTCCTCGCCTCTCAGTCCGCGTCAGTGAAAATGCTGCCCGGGCCAAAGTCCGGTTTCCCACCCAGCGACCCAAGGATGTCCCCGATGTAGTTACTGGCCTTGATCCCTGCCTCGAATCGTGTATGCCACTCCGACACGATCCCCGTCACGATCGGTACGCCCGCTGCGGCGATGTTCTTCAGCGAAATCTCGAACCCGGGCGAGTTCGAGTGCAGAGCCTCCCCTGCGGTCTGTCCCGGGTACTGTCTGTCGAAGTTGGATCCGGTCCGCATGCTGATGACGCGGGCAAAGTCGACGAGCGCCGCGCGAGCGCCGCGCACGAGTGCCTCCAAGATCGCGTTGTCCTCCTGCTGCGACGTGCAGTACGCCCCCGTGCCGTTCGTGAGCATCGTCGTCGCGCTCTCGAACGCCTCCCCCAGCATCTTGCCCGACCAATACACGTCGGAAGTGGCGGTGTCACAGGCGATGACGGACGGGGGCGCGGCGCCAGCGGCGTACTCAGAGTCTTTGGCGAAGTTCACGCGGTACTGCTGCGCCCGCTTGTCGTCCGCGAGGGTACCCTTTCTCGCGAGCGCAATCGCGAGCTGACGGAGGTCGTCGTTGAGCTCGAAGACCTCTGTGCCATAGATGTCCTGAGGGTATATACCGGGGAAGGTGGTGCCTTGTGCGAAGTAGCCAGAGGAGAAGTTGGCCGGCATCTCGCGCGCGTCGATCTCGCGCTGCAGCGCAACTTGGACGGCATAGCGCGCAAAGCCGACGCTGCCGAGGGTGCCCTGCTTCGGGTTGATGCCTGCTATACCGGCGATGAGGAAGTACGTGCGCTTGAGATCGAAGGCGGGTGAGAGGACGAGGGCAGTGATTGTAGACGCGGCGTTGATCTCGGACTCGCCGGTGACGGCCTGGCAGACAGATCCGTCGCTAGTGCAGTGGGCTTGTGGAAAGAGTGGAGAGAAGCCGGGGACGGTGATATTCTGCTCGAGCAAGTTGAACTCCGGGATACCGTGCCAGACAGCCTCTTCCGGCGTAAACTGGGTGTGTAACATGAGAGAACCGTACCGGGAAAGGAGACCCTAAACTCACTGCGTCAATGATGAATACCTTTGGTACAATTGTGGTTGCCCCCACACCGAACGGAGCTTGGGAGGCCGCGACGGTCGAACAGAAGGCCATAACAAATACAAGGGAGGACGTGAGCGCCTTCATGATTAACCTACGAAGAACAGGCAGATTCAGTTGCCTGGTAGATACTTGCACGTGTAGCGGCCGTCACTTACCTGCAGAGGGTTGGAAGGTCCGTATGTGGTGTACTAAGATGGGGGTAAGTGGGATGAGAGGAAGGGGCGGGTCGAGTTGCACAGCGTTCTGGTCCCGTCACAGTGGACGACTTATAGCGACGAGATGATCCTGACGGTAAGCAAGGTGGGAGCTGCATCATTCCTGTAAGCGAAGAACAATCGAGCCAAGAGTTGGTATACGGGAATAGACCGCCAAAAATGCGAGTAATGTCCTGCAGCAATGGATGAAATTGGCACTTATCTTGTCTGATACTGTTGCCAAGAGAAGAGGTCGTCCTAACAGTTACATGCTTTCCATATGTGCACACACAACCTGCCAGTAGCCGAGCACAAACAAATGAACGAGAAAAACTGCGCACGGAGGAAATCTCCTTGTCCGGAGCGGGTGAATGGAACACCAGGTCGACGTCGGTCGTAGGTATGTTCATTCTGTGACTCAACGCACGAAACACGTGTATAAGTAGTATGTGTCTGCTGTGTGCTTCATCAGTGTCACTCATCAGGATATTATACGCGTAGTTCGCACCTATATAATGGCTATCTGCCAATAGAGAGGGCGATGGAAAAGAATGAGACGTCTTGACAGGCGTCTTGAGCCCGAACAGCAGGCTGGTATGATGTGACGTGGTGTTACTGTTACATGACCGATGTGTGACGTCACGCTTAACGAGGGCACCACGAGTAAAACCATTTCGGAGTGAGGAGGGGTTCACGTCTAATGTTCGTTGTAAACTCCATAGACCATACATATACATCCATAGGACACCGCTTTTGGAGACAGCCCACAAGGAGACAGCAAAGGAGCGACGCGAAGCATAAGACAAAACACAGGACTAACCAACAACCAAACAAGCGGCGAGGCGGGTATGCGGATACGGTACGGGGGGTAATAGCGAGCAGCGCGAGTATGTACGATAGAGGGGCTGTTTTCGCGCATGCGAAAACGGGGAGAGGGGGACGGTGTACGGTGGGTGTATGGACGTATGTATGTACGATGTGTATGGGGCGATGTATGCTACGGGGTTTTATTGAGTGCAGTTAATGGCGGTGGGCGCGAGAGCACGAAAGCCAAAGGATACATATGATGACGAGCGAGTAGAGTACGATGCAGCCAGGCAGAAAACCAAGGACTCGGCCCGCATGTGCGGGCGAGGGTAGAAAAACAGAAGAAGGGGTGGAACCAGAATAGCTTAAAACATAAGCGCACCTCCGGCGCCCCCGCGTGGGGAGGCACCGCGCATTTTACCGGGCTGGAATGGCGCATAGACGGACGGACAGCAAAACGGGCGGACGGCGGGGCCTAGCAGACCTCGACCTCCCACTCGCCGCCTTCCTTGCCCTTGCCGGGCATCCCGCGTAACGCGATGCGCACCCTGCGGCGACCGGCGCTCTGTGCACCTGGGCTTCCTGCGCGCGACATTCCGCTCCCGACGCTCCCGTACTCGCTGCCGAGGTCGAACTCGTACTCGTTCGGCATCTGCGATGGCGACGGCGCACTTGGGTAGTACGCAGTCGTCGGTGATGACATCGAAGGCGAAGACGAAGCAGAGAACGCGGACTGGGACGAGGGAGGGTAGGCCAAATCGAACGACGTAGGCTGCAGGCTCTGCGAGTCGAAGCCAAAGTCGTTTGCGCCGATGCCGAGGAACGGACCGAGGTCGTCTTGCGCGTCGTGCCACATAGCCATGTCTTCCTCTTGCTCCTTGAACTGCACGCTATCGCTGCCGTTGTCCGAGGCCGGGGAGGAAGTCGAGGTACCGGGAGGGTGGATGCGAACGCGAATGCGACCGTCCTTGGCCGCACTAGCATCGAACGAAATGTCCAGACCGCTCAAGCCGAGCTTCTCCGCGTCGAGATCGACAAACTCGAGTTTCTTGAATTCGGGCCCGGAGCGCTCCTCGGAGGGCAGAGTCGAAGGGGACAGGTCAAGATCCATAGCACCAGAGCCAAGGCCGAAATTCCAGTCGTAGTCGCTCATCGGGAACGTCGCCATATCCAGCGACGTAGAGTGCGAGTGCGAGTGCGACGTCGGAGGGTTGTAAGACACGCCGTTTGACATGGCGTGATGCGCGGGCAGCGAGAGGAGCGTGGGCAGAGCGCAGAGCAGAACCTAGCGAAGGTGTCAGGGCTGCGGGAACGATCGAGCGTAAGGAATATTCTCACCATCAGTCCAAAGCTTGCGCCCGACCGCTCGCCTTTGTGCGCGCGCAACGACGCCGGCAGCACAGGCTCAACAGCCTCGACCTTCACAACGTCCGCCTGCCGTGCTGGAGACGGCTCCCGCTCAGGAACGCTCGACAGCTTGGCGGCGAGCTCACGCTCGCGTTTCTGCGTCTCCGCCAACTGTCGCCGGAGCTGCTCCACTTCAGACAGAAGTCCAGTGTCGACAGGCGTGGATGCCTGCGCGCCCTGCGACTGTGGCTGCTGAGCGAGAGCCTGAAGACGGGCGTTTTCCTGCTCGAGCTCCGCAACACGGCTAGTATGGCGTGTCAGTATTATTGAATTTCTGTAGATGCAGCAGGAACAATGTGTATAGGACTCCTTTCAACAAGTTGATGTAAACCAACACGCGGCGGGACGGCGATGGCAGGCCACACTGCCTCGACGCCCGAGCGCTCCGGCGTGCAGGGAACCCGAAACCCATCAGAACGCCTCAGGCAACGCTATCCCTGAATAGAGCAGTCACAGGCGAGACTGCAGACGTCTTCTGATCATCGCTGGGAGGCCCCTGCGCTGAGCGGCGGTAGTCCCGGAAACAGGGATGGCAGGAACCAATCACAGAGCTCGCGCGGGCGCCAAACAACAGCCTCTCGCGACTTCGGTCTGCCCGTAGTCTCCCACCTCGAAAAGGACGTGCATATATGCGCATGGTTGCCCATTTCAATAGTGGAAAAGCGGGCAGTGTGGCGAAGTCGAGGGGGTGAAAAAATTACTTCGAAGGGGGAGATAAGCTGAGCTCAGGGTCTTGGTACCCACAGGTCTTCCGACGACCCAGACCAGGCGACTACCCAAGGCAATCCTGCATTCGTCGCGAACGAGTCACGCGAGGTTACGCCATAGAGGCCATCTGGAGGTCGGGAGACCTCTGGGAACCATACGTCGGCGTGAAGGAGGTGGGAGAGGAGGTAATGCGGGGCAGATAGGCAGAGGCGAAAAAGAGATATCGCAGGGAAGCGAGGACTCACATTTCCATGCACTCGAACTCCTCCCGCTTGCGCTGCCTGCTCAAAAAAGCGGCCGCGCGGTTCTTGACCAACCGAGCCTCGCGCTTGCTCAACCCGGTGACGTCCGGCGGGATGAAATCCTTCGTCGTAACGCGCTCCCCACGCGGCTTCTTCGTTGCCGACGCAGTAGTAGGGCCAACCGAAGACCGCTTGGACGGCACGACGCTTCCCTCGGACGGTGCGGGAGACCCGGCAGCGGAAAACGAGGAAGTGTGGTGCATCGGAGCGCGCTGCGGGAGCGACTGCGGCGGCGCCTGGGGGGACGACGCGGGCGTGGACGCAGGGCTGCTCATCTGTTGACTGAGGGTCGCGTCCGGCATGAAGTCGAAGACCTGGTGGGTAGGGAGGCACTGCTCGACGACTTCATCCGGAGTCATGCGACTCCTGAACGCTTTCCGGGTGTCGGGCATCGCACCAGGCATCATACCGGGTGGCGAACCCGATAGCGGTAGCGAGAAGGGGTCGTAGAGAGCAGCGAGGGCGGGGTCGCGGTCCCATGGGACCGGGAGCGAGTCGGAGATTGGGGAGGTGAGGGGCGCGTCGGCGGAGATGATGTGCGACATGTGCAGCGCGGGGAGGTGCATTGACGACATCTTCAAGACGTAGTTAAACGGTGCCGGGCGTTGAGGGTGTTGGGGACGTTGAGGACGTTGTGGGCGACGGGCGGAGGGCGACGGAGGTGGGGGTTCGGGTTCAAAAAGATAGACGGCTAAGGGGCGCGGACTTATATCGCTTCTTTGCCGCCGTACCCAGAAAGAGCACTCAGAACCTAAAGTTCGGCTACCGTTCTAAATCAACATCACCTCCTCCGCCCTCCCCCCTTTGATCCATCAACACTGCTCCTCCCTATCTTCATCTTTTTTCGAAGGCATAAAACGCACTATGTTCTGGTCATCGAACATGTTTTTCCCCGCACTGCAGCGAGTCCTCGTCGCGGCGTCATCGGCGCATACGCGCACGGTCCGTAAACACGCGTACGCGCGTAGGTCCGTGCCCTCGCGGTGTTAAAATTACGCCCGAGTCCGGGCTGCGAGACTTTGATGCCATGGCTCCCACGTTCTCACAATCCTGCGCTAATTTCTGCGCCCTTTCTCGCTCCGTCGCCAATGGCATAATCCAGGATTGCGACGAGATAGCGACTCGTGGACGCACCCGCCGCCCGCTGGGGTCCATGTCGAGGTCATCTTGCCAAACATCCTCGCGCAGCACGTCCGAGAACGCCCCGTTTGCCCGACATTCCGAGAGGCCGCGAAAAGCGTCGTCTCGCCTTTTCTGGTTCTCATGTCTCCACGCGAAGTCGCAGGAGAACCGGCGCATGGGCGGCCCATAGCCTAAAGGCTCCGCGGCCTGTGGTCACATCCTCCTGCAGTCGTGCGTCCTCCGTCCGAGTCTCCCGCGCGGAGCTTGCCCGTCTTCTCTTGCCCCCGCGCCGAGGCCCAGAAAACGCACCGCTCGCTTAACGGTCGTCGTCCTGAGTGCTGGGCAACGTACGCCGAGGGTCCCGGTGTCCGCGCGGTCGAGAGAAGGGATCGTCCCCACTCACCCAAGGTGCCTGTGCATGGGCCTCCATTCCGGGCAGGCGAAGACGGGAGGGGACGGAACGCTCTCCGCACCCGTCCTGGACGTTCTTCGCCTTCTGCCACTCTTATTGCCTCCTGGCGGGGCTGCCCCGCACTGGACGCCTGGACGATCGATGCATGCTGCCGCATTTGGGACGGATGATCTGCGCGCCTGCCACCCCCCGTTCCTTAACCTTCCTCGCCCCGTACTCCGTACAAGGCCACGCGCCCTTCTCTCGCCTTCCTCCTCCGCCAGGCCTTCTTGGCGGAATTCGACGTCTGCGAATGAGGTCAGCGTTAGCCTTCGCACAGAAGCCGAGCACGAGGACAAACCTCGGGAAAGCGTCATCTGCGCAAAGGCTATTTCCGCGCGTGGACGCCCCGCGCAAATTTGTGCGCCTTCGCTCCTCTTCCTGCTATCGCGCCTTCGGGGCGACAAACAGCTGAGCAGCGTGCCTCGCGCGTCGGTGTCAGACGGCGGGCGCGCTGCGGGCGCCCCCTCTTCTATCGCGTCGATCAGCCTTGTCCCCTTCTCCCTTGGTGCATTCCTTCTCACCGCCTACAAAAATACCCCACAAACGTCATGCTTGTCCGTCCAAGCCGCACGCGCGGCGGGGGTCACAAGCACCTCCCCGCTGCACGATGCCCGCCGTTGGTGTGAATGCGCAGCCCGTAAAGCCCACCTAACAACCTGCGAAGGATGTCATAGGGCGTGTTGAGCCAGGATCTGCAGCCTGCAGCATTGGACGTCATATCGCATGCGCAGAACAGGAGGATTCGAGTGAAGAATCACCCCGGACCTGCCCCGGGCTGAGCGTTCTCGCGTGCTCGGGCGCCAACGATCAAAGTGGACTGCGATACGCCTGTGGCGGAGCCTGGGCCGTCGAGTCTTCCGCGGAGAACGCCAGACCAGGAACGCTCCGTCTTGCCGACCGTTGTCGGCCATGCGCGCACTGCGCCGGCGTGGCACGCGCGCGGATCTGCGACACACACCTCCCCGGATAGTTCGGCGAGCGGCCCGCCCACGCTATGCGATGAAGGCAGTAAGTATGCGGCAATGCAGAGACGGACATAAGCACCAACATGAGCTCTGCACGAGGGAGCGCGGCGTTGGCGCTCTATTGCGTCAATTTGGACACATGCGATCGTGGTCGATCGCATAGTTCGAAGAGCCGGCGGGCACGTGTATACCGACCGACGGCGTGCCTGGCCAGTAGGCCACAAGTCCGAAGGTCGTCCACAAGCCCATTGCGACGGGTCGGCTGCGCATCTGGAGCTCATTTTGAATAGAGCGCACTACTCTTCACGCTCGATCGATCGTCATGTAATTGTTGCGAACGGAGATGAGGACGGTGCCGGAGGTGGTCGGCCTCGGGACGAAAGAGTCTTGCTCGGAGCTCGTCCACAGGCAGCATGGCGCAGACCGCCCAGGTATATATAGCAGGAAGCTTGCGATGCAGTCCGAGAAGGAGTCCACATCGGTCGCATGAAGGCCGGTTGATCGAGCCCATAAATTAATGTGTGGGGGTGGATGTGGTAGGATATGCGGCATTCGTGCAAGAGGTCTCGCGCATAGGGGCATCTAGAGGTATCGAAAATTAGCAAGGTAGCAATGCAGACCAGAAGCGTAGAAAAGGGCAGCTCACGCAATGAGTTCCCTAGATGAAACACTGAACATTTCGAATGTCAGTCCGTGACGCATGTGAACAAGATGGTAAAGGCACTGCACCTTACACCCATGGGAACCTTCGAGTCGACATCAACACAACAACAGGAGCATATCACTGTCGTGATCTCGATACCGGAGAACCGCGAGGACAGAAGCATACTTTCGCATCTTCTCAGAGCCACCCAACGAAAACGAAGCTGGCAACACCCAAGGGCACTAGAGCACGATGTGCGAACGACGTCCTCAAAGCTGCGAATTGCTCGATGACTGCGGACATCCATGCAAAGGATACCTATAGGCGACTCGCACTTGATTGCATCACCGGCGATATAAAACTGTGCAAGATATCTTAGCGTTGCCACGAACAAGACGAGAAAGTCAAAAACTTACCACCCGCTTCTCAGAGACCCGCAGTGATTGCTGCGGGGTCTCCAAGACTGTACCTGGCTAATGTGAGAGGTTTCCAATTATGGCACTACACTACTGCTGTCGATACATTACCCAAGCCTACTGAGTGGCCATGCGTCCCAAATTCCCCAGCTCTATGGAATGTGTACAGCTCAGGCTCTCCTGCGCGTGCGGGGCATCGATGCGTAGCCAACACGCATACCCTGTGCGCCCCTGCGGGCGCATCATGCAGGTTCGCGAACCATTCCCCTGTCTCCATTCTTACAAGCGAATGGCGGACGACCGGGAGGTGCGGCGAAGATGTCGGACGAGGTTCTCGTGAACTACGCCTGGAGCTCTTGTTCCGCCGGCGCTGCCGCAACCTCGGGTGGCGCCGATGACGGCATCGCAAGCCCACCGTGAAGGGACTCGCCTGCGGCGGCGTTGAGTTGTGCGGCCATGAGGTGCCGGAACCGCGAGTCCGCCTTGTTGACCTGTACAACATGCCCAAATATCAGTTCGTCCGCCGAAGACCTGTAGCGAATCGATGCACGCACCAACTGACGATACGTGCCCGTCTCCGTGATTTGTCCGTCTGCATCCTATTCAGCAATCACACTCTTACGAAACATCGGCGGAACGGAAACGCACCTTCGAGCACAACAATGCGCTCAGCACGTGCAATGGTGGAGAGCCGGTGCGCGACGATCAGACATGTCGTTTGCCGTGCGCGCAGGATCTTATCGATGGCGTCGTTCACCCGGTGCTCCGACGTCGCGTCGAGCGAGCTGGTCGCCTCGTCGAGCGCGAGGATCACCGGCTTCTTCAGCAGTGCTCGCGCAATTGCCAATCGCTGTCGTTGACCTCCGCTTAGACTCGCCCGACCGACTATATGCGCAACATTAAGCGACAAGCGGAGACAATTAGACCGGGTACTCACTTTCGGTGTCGAAACCATGCGGCATGCCCCAGACGAACTCGCAGTTTGCCTCTCGCGCGGCCGCCTCGATTTGTTCCCTGGTCGCATTCGGGTTCCCGTACGCGATGTTCGACGCAATAGTGCCGGTGAAGAGTATCGGGTCCTGGGGCACGACACCAATGATGTTCCGCCAAGACGAAGAATTGAACTCTCGAATATCTACATACTCGTAAGCTGCCTGCCCCGAACTACTCACACGCGGCATAGAATGCTCACCTTGCCCATCGAACGTGATTTTACCCTTAACAGGATCATAATATCTCATGAGAAGTGCGTTAATCGAGCTCTTCCCGCTACCGCTTGCGCCTCTACAGTAACAGGTCAGCGGCAAACACAAACTCCCTGCCCACAAAGCCAGCACTCACACAATAGCGACACTTTCGCCCATGGCGACCTCCAAGTTGAGGTCCTTGAGGATTTGAACATTCCGACGGCTGGGGTACTCAAACCAGACATGCTCGAAGCGAATAGGTCCACGCCGAGAGATGTCAACCTCGATACCAGCGTCGGGCGGGATCGCAGGTTGACGGTCGAGCAAATCGAAAATACGGACGCCTGCACCGATACCGCGCATGATGGACGCCTACATGCAACCCAAGAAGGAAGTCCAGCTAAATGAGCGTCCAGAAAGCAAAGGGACAGGTCACCGAGGTACTCACAAAGAACGACCTTATGAGAAAAAGTTCATTAGCATATATGCGCATGCAAAGGCGAAAGAACACCATACGTGAGCATCTGAAGACCGCTGCCGACGTATACCGTGTACAGCAGCAAACTCGTCAGGTCGCCGACCGAGATGGCGCCCTTGCTAACCAGTGTCCCACCTGTTTAAACGTTCAGTTTATGTGCCATCACATACTAGACGCACTCACCATAACCGAGGAGGGCGAGGAGGGTCACGTTCCCGCTCCAGCCGGTCGCGCCGAAGAAAATTCCGCTCGCGATGGCCTCCTTGCGTGCAAGAGTTAGGACAGTGCCAACCTTCTGGTGGAACTTCTCCTGCTCTTGACCTGCCGCGTTGAAGGCCTGTACTGTTCGCAGTGCTGACAGCGACTCTTGGGCGACCTAAGTCGGTAGAGCGTTCAGGTAAGCCCGCATGACCTTGATGAGTGTAGGGGAAGCGGACCTTGGTCATGTCTCCGAGTGCTTCTTGTGTACGGTTGGATAGCTTCTTGAGATACCGGCCATAAAATACCTACTATCGCGTCTTAGAATAGACTATATGCGTCTTCAGAACACACCACCTACCGCGCCAAGTGATACCGGGGGGACAACGGTAAGCATAAGCAATGTCAACGTTGGTGAAATGTAGAACATTGCGCCCACTAGTGCAGCGCTATTAGCATTCGGTATTTTTAGAATTGTAACTGGCAGTCTTACATCCAGCGGAAGCCATCACAATAGAACGAAGACCGTCCGAGAGGTTCTGAGTAACACTGCCGCATATAGTCAGCTCACAATGCGCGACCGCGTTGGGCCACGCATATAGCCTCTCAGTATGATTGCGTGTATGTTACTGACCTTTCACCAACGATACTAGAGTCCACACTGAGCCTGCTCAGGACGTCGCCTTCGCCCTTCTCCACGAATTCGACCTCTTGCCGTAGTGATGCCTCATACGTGCGTTCCCGCAACCGTGCGACAATCCGCTGACCTATCCCACACGCCAGTTACATGGCCATGCTTGTTTCTATCGACGCGCATACACGCACCTGATAGACGCATAAGCATAGCGCGTCCCGCATTCGCGACCGCCCCAGTGGTGAAGAGCAGCAGTAGCAGGGCTGACGCCTGCCCCAGGGATAGTCCAAACGGTATTTGCTACAGCACACCTGCGCTCAACATACGAACACGAGCGAGATCATGAGACTGAAGACTCACCGGATCCGAGGTAGTAAAGAAGTCGATGAGCTTCCCGATGGTGAACGGCACGCTCATCGAAACCGCGCTCGAGACCATGAGCAGTCCGATGGCAGTCCCAAGCGGCTTGCGCTCCGGTTTCGCTAGTGCGACGATCTTGCGGAATGATGACGCGCTCTTCGCGCTGTCCTGTGCGTCCGCTGGCACAAACCTGCTCCATATGGACTTCTTCGGGCTGGAAGGTGAGCTGGGTGGGCTGGAAGCAGGTGCAGACGGTGGTGCTGCCGAGGATGATGTGGGCGGAGACGAAGAGGCAGCGCTAGAAGGTGCAGAAGAGGTTGTCGTCGAAGAGTACCGCCGATGCGCCAGTAGCAGCCGGAGATGCAGAGCGGGAAGCGGCCGAGAAGTACATGGCGCGCTGGAGACGTGTCGGGCGAGGAGAGTGGGCGCCGACGGCCGCGGAACGACGAGGATGCGCGCACGGAGGGCGAACATCGTCGTTGGCGTCGTGTACGCTATGCTGGCGTACGTGGACGGTGATGGGTAAGAGCAGGGGTGGCTTGAGAGGAAACTCGGCAAGGCTGAACGTCACCGACGCCCGTGTGCACGTGCGCTTACGGGACTCCCACGTGAGCGATATTAGAGCGCGACGACGCGTCGCCGCTGCCGGCCGGTGCTGCTTCCGAGTCCTCTGCGAAGTTCGACGATGCCACAGTGCATGCGTGCGAAGGGGGGAATCAAATTAAAGAGCTTTAAATACAAGTTAAATCGTAAAGCAGCATCCAGAAAATTAGGGCTGATAACTTTTGGGCTACCAGGCCTCAGCTCCGAAACCGCCGTACCAGCCTTCTCACCCACCCTTCCTTCACAACCCCCTCCTCGACGACAGGGACAGGCTTCACGAACCTATGCCGTAGGCTATCGCGCCACGCAATCTCCTGAGGTTTCAGAACCCACCGTTCCGCCCCCTTCAGCATCCCCCGCTCCAACGCGCGAAGTACCAGGTTTTCCCTCTCCCATAGCCCTTCCGTCCACACCGCTAGGGGTCCCACCCTCGCAGGTCGGGCCAAATCGTCGACGCCTCCAGATGAGCTCTTCTCTGTGCTGCTATCGAAAAGATTTGGCGACGAGGGAGGAGCGCGCCGGGACATGCGATTTGCCATGACGATGTCGGTGAGCAGCCGGTCGCCGACGATGACTAGCTCTTCGTCTTTTACAGGCTTAGGAAGCGACGCGAAGTACGCGCGGATAGACTTGATGCATGCGTACGATGGTTTGAGGGATGCGTGTCGTAGCACAGGAGCGGAGAGATGGTGCGAAACTGATTCCGCCTGCACGTACGTACGAGCGGGTTCATACCTTCTCTTACAATGATTGAGAGTGGTCAGCTCACCTCAATCTCCCCGACGTCCAAATGGGAACCCGCGGTGTTGCTAACGATGAGTACGTTCCCTGGTCCAAACGTCTCTCTGCATTCCTGCCATGCCTCCTTCGAGATTGCGCAGTCTTTCATCAGCGGTGCTCCGTGCTCCTAGGGGGATTGTAGCAGTACTCACTATGATCTCTGGGACTAGCCTGTCCTCATGTGGGATTGTCTGGTGTTACGCATGAGCGGCCGTCATACCACCCGGGTTCGGTCACTAACTCACCAGGCAATTGTCCTTGTCAAACACAGCGCCACGATAGCCAGCCTTATAGAGAGCAGGAAAGTCAAGCTGGCGGATGTCTTCCTAGCGCGAATAATCAGCACCAAAGTACCTCCGCTGTCTAGTGCAATGCTGCAAGTAATCGAACGTGCTTAAGGAGAGCAACAGACCTTTCACGACGACACCCGGAACCAAGAGCCGCGGGTTGAGGAGGAGGTGGAAAGGTACAAGTATCCCAGGTAGATTGAAGGGCATTCTTGAGATGCGACGTTCAAACTTTCAGCATTTGTTTGATGCACTTGAATGCCACCGGTGTAGTTTGGGCGGGCCCCAGAACAGGTCAGGCTATTATATGCAAGTGCGGCGAACAAAGTCCAAAATGCCGAGAGAATGATACAAGCGGAGCGATAGAGTCGACGCGACAGAGCGTAAACAAGAAAAGCTCCAAGGCGCTTGCTAGCAGAGGAGCTATAACGTGACGTGTACGTGACACTTAACAGTAACGGTAACGGATTGTCGCATCATACCAACCCAGTCACGGTGGGCTGTCCTTGAAAAGCCTCGGTGTCCTATAGATGTGAGTTGTGTGCTGTCCCTTCGTCGAGTGAGGAAGAAGATTATGCTCGTCAGACACTACGGCGAGGAGAAGGTATCAGACGTGATATCACTCTGCAGTCACGGCACTGTAACACCACGTCACATCACACCAGCATCCTCAAGACGTCTGTTTCTCCTTCACCACCATCTCTGCTGGCAGAAAAACACGATATAGGTGCGAAATACGTATATAACATCTAATTTAATGACACTGAGGGGTAATACAGCACACAGATGTTTAGAAATGTGTTCCCCACGTTGATGCCCCTTTCAAACCGCCACATAATCATCGCACCTCAGCATCCACTTGCTTCGAGCAAGGAGATTTCTACCTTGCGCTCGGTCAACGGCAGGTTGTGTGTGCGCATCTTGAAGGTATGCGATTCTTAGGGCAACGCCTTTTCTTGGCGACAGTACAGTAACAGACAAGGTTCACCTTCATCCTGTCCCCCCTTGCGTTCGTAATGGCTTTCGGTTCCACCATCGCGGCCTCTCAAGCTCCGTTCGGTGTGGGGTAGCCACGATTATACCCAAAAGGTACGTATTGCACGTCGCAGCATGAGGACAGCGCGTTCCTAGAGGCGCTCGTGCGCGGTGCTCACTTTTTGGGCACGGTCCTCGGCGTATAGAGCCAGTTGCAGACGCTGACGACAGCCTCGTGTAATGCGACGTCCGCTCGAACGAGGTTGAGGAAGAGCTTTGCACCGGGATGTGCGATATCTTCGATACGCACATGAAATTCAGGAATGGGCCATTCGGGCTCTGGGTCGTGCGGCGGTGGAGGCGGCATCTCAGTGGCCAGAGAACGGGTCTGCTGAGCGGATGGACGAGCTGAGGTACGGGGTCCGGAGGCTGCTTGCACAAGTTGCAGGCCCAAATAGGCGAACCGTATCACGCTTTCCGATGGGGGGTTGCTGTGCGGGGACGTGACAGGATCACTATGCAGCGCGCGCCGGTGGCGTTCTCTCTTCCGCTCGCTCCGTGAGCACCGTCGAGGGCAGCGACTGCACGCTCATCTCTTCTCATCTGCGTCCCCTTCTGACCCAGCCAACTGACCCCTCATTTTGACTTGTCGACTTCTCTGTATGATCATGCTGTTCATCGCCAACTCTGACGTTCTCCCTAGCACGTAACGCCCAGTCCCCCGTTATAAGAGAGGGCAAAATGGAACGGTTCGTGGTCAACTGTCTCCTCACATTCCTACCTGTCTAGATGGCGAACGGTCTGCGTCGTCTCCACGCGTTTCTCACCACGTTCTCTGTCGGCGCTGCGACCGCTTGGGCGTATGGCTTCCCGGACTGTGTCAACGGCCCGCTGAAGAGCAACGCTGTCTGTGATATTACCAAGGACCCTATCACTCGAGCTACAGCGCTCATTGGCCTCTGGACTGACGAGGAGCTCACTAGCAACACAGTCAATGCATCTCCGGGTGTGCCCCGTTTAGGTCTTCCCGCCTACAACTGGTGGTCAGAAGGTTTGGTACGTATCTCGGCCTATCCATATCGTAATATACTCATTTTTATGTTTAGCACGGTGTAGCCCAAAGCCCGGGTGTGACCTTTGCACCATCCGGCAATTTTAGTCATGCGACCTCCTTCCCCCAACCCATTCTGATGGGTGCCGCATTCGACGACACACTCATTCAAGCGATCGCGACCATTGTGAGCACAGAAGGGCGCGCCTTCAACAATGCCGGCCGCGCTGGTCTCGATTACTGGACGCCCAATATCAATCGTGAGTCCTCTATCCTCCTCTCCGCTGTGGGACCGCTCACCAAAACAGCGTTTAATAGCGTTCAAGGATCCCCGATGGGGACGCGGACAGGAGACCCCGGGAGAGGACCCGTTCCACCTCTCCCAATATGTCTACAATCTCATCCTCGGCCTCCAAGGCGGGCTCGACCCGAAGCCGTACTTCAAGGTCGTCGCCGACTGCAAGCACTTCGCCGCGTATGACCTGGAGAACTGGGAGGGCATCGTGCGCAACGGGTTCGACGCGATCGTCTCGCAGCAGGACCTGTCCGAGTTCTACCTCCCGCCGTTCCAGACGTGCGTGCGCGACGCGAAGGTCGCGAGCGTAATGTGCTCGTACAACGCTGTGAACGGCATCCCGTCATGTGCGAATAGCTTCCTGCTGCAGGATGTGCTCCGTGACCACTGGGGATTCACGGACGACCGATGGGTCACGAGCGACTGCGACGCCGTTGAAAACATTTTAACACCGCATAAATATACTACCGACCCGGCACAAGCGGCGGCGGACGCGCTGCTAGCGGGCACTGACATCGACTGCGGGACGTTCTCGTCGACGTATCTTCCTGAAGCTCTGCAGCGTGGCCTGGTCAACTCGACCGATCTTCGGAGAGCAGCCATTCGTCAATACGCATCACTCGTTCGGTAAGTGTCCTTTCATCATTCTTAATACTGATGCTGAAAGAAGTTTTCAGCCTTGGCTACTTCGACGATCCAGCAGCTCAGCCGTATCGTCAGTTGGGGTGGTCCGACGTCAACACCCCGCAAGCTCAGCAGCTCGCACACACCGCCGCAGTTGAGGGTATCGTCCTACTGAAGAACGACGGAGTCCTCCCGTTCTCGAAGCACGTCCGCAAGCTCGCGCTCATCGGTCCCTGGGCAAACGCAACGAGTCTCCTGCAGGGCAGCTACATCGGTGTCGCACCTTACCTCGTGAGCCCGTTGCAAGGTGCACAAGAGGCCGGATTTGAGGTCGAGTACGTGCTCGGCACCAATGTGACGACACAGAACGACATGAGCGGCTTTGCTGCCGCCGTCGCCGCCGTGAGGCGCGCGGACGCGGTGGTCTTCGCGGGAGGGCTGGACGAGACGGTCGAGTGTGAGGGGACAGACCGCCTGAATGTAACGTGGCCAGGAAACCAGCTCGATCTCGTCGCAGAGCTAGAGCGCGTAGGCAAGCCGCTGATCGTCGCGCAGTTTGGTGGCGGCCAGCTCGACGACACCGCGCTCAAGCACAGTAAAGCAGTGTGTACCATCCCATTCTCTCCTCCCAACAACGCCCGTGACAGAAGCTAATCACGCGGGTGCGCATCGTGCTCCACCAGGTGAACGCAATCATCTGGGGCGGCTACCCTGGCCAAAGCGGCGGCACCGCGCTCTTCGACATCCTCACGGGAAAGGCGGCCCCCGCGGGACGCCTGCCCATCACGCAGTACCCTGCCGCGTACACCAAACAGGTCCCGATGACGGACATGAGCCTGCGCCCGAGTGCGACGAACCCCGGCCGGACGTACAAATGGTACTCCGGCACGCCCGTCTTCGAATTTGGCTTTGGGCTGCACTACACCACCTTCGTGTTCTCCTGGGCCGCCCCTAGCGCCGCCGCGGCTGTCGACTCCACCGCGTCGTTCGGCAGCCTCGCGAAATCCTACTCCATCTCCCAGCTAGTGGCGCACGGCCAGGAGAGCACGGCGTTCCTGGACCTGGCGCCCCTCGACACGTTCGCGGTGCGCGTGACGAACACGGGCAGGGTCGCGTCCGACTACGTCGCGCTGCTCTTCGTGAGCGGCGCGTTCGGGCCCGCGCCGCACCCGAAGAAGCAGCTCGTTGCGTACACGCGCGTGCACGGGCTTGCGCCGCGCGGCAGCACGGTCGCGCAGCTCCCGGTGACGCTGGGCGCGATCGCACGCGCGGACAAGAACGGGGAGAAGTGGGTGCACCCCGGGACGTACACGCTCGCGCTGGACACGGATGCGGTGCTGACGCACACGTTCACGTTGACGGGGAGCGCGGTGAAGATCGCATCGTGGCCCAAAGATAGCAGTTCGTGAAATGGATGATAAGTAAGCTGTTTTCCCACTGCTTTATGACGTTGGTCGATCCGAATACATGGCTAACAATCGCCTCCTAGCTTTGTTCTTGTACACAGTGACTTTACACCCTCTGCCTCTCTTAATCGAACTTGGCCTCCTTGAGGGGAATGAACACCGGGGTGACGAAGACCTTCTCCAGGTCCCACTGGTATAGCGCAATATCAGTGCTCTCGGTTACGCGTTTGTTGAGGATTACCACTTACCACTTCGCCGGAGGTGTAGAAGATGTCCTTCTTGATCAGGGCCCAGATGGCGTCGATGCTCTCGGCCTGGGCGATAATGAACGAGCCGGTCATCTTCGTCGCGGCGTCGGCATCGGTAGACTTGACGTCGGCGGGCAAGAGTCCACCGCCGAGCCCTGCCAAAAATGTAAGTGCCCATAGTTCGTTAAGCTCGAGAAGTCCTCATGAATCGAATCCGACAGGTCATCCTATATGATCCCCGACGTCGCTCTGGGGCGTTCGTGCACTCGCCGCGCGGCGAGTTTTGCAGTGCGCACGCATAGTGGATAAGAGCACTCAGCACTCACGTATGATTCCGCTCTGGAAATGGGGTGCGTTCTGCTCCAGGTGCTTCGCCGCATGCTTCATGCGCTGGGAGTCCGGCTTGTCCACAGCGTAGATGTGGAACAAGTTGAGGGTGGGAGTCGAGGCCATTTCTTCTCTTGGGTTGCAGTGGCTGGCGAGGATGTGGTGAGTTTGGGTATGCGTCCCTCACTTTGAACGGGCCAACACTTATATATGTCCCAGGACTACTGACCGGAGCCTCGTCTCATACCAGGACTGTCAGCGCGGAAGAGCTGCCGGGGTTTGCCCGCCCGCGTAGAATAACACCCATGTCTTACAAAGGTACGACCCAGAAGTGCATTCTAGCGGGATGAATTCGAGCGGGATGAGGTCGCGCGGGATGAGGCCGACCGGGCTTCGAATACGTGATGTTGCGCTTATGCCAGTGTATACCGGTATATCGGAGGTATGGCCGGTCAGTGTTGATTGATAACAAAAGTTCAGCGTCCATCATGTTGATAGAGAGTCTCACTTAGCCATGATCAGAGGAACAAGGTGAGCGCGGTCTCCCCCTGGTCTGAACGGATATCGAGCTCATTTTCTGAATCTTTCAGCTTGTGCATCGGATCCCTCATGCTGCATCACCGGTATGATCTTCTGCAGAACCATACAAGCAGGGTGCCGTTATATTGCTCTCGAAAAGCGCACCCTCGAGTCGGTCATGTTCAAGCTCGGTAATGGACACATATATTCGGCAATGGCAACCACGTGTATGCGCTATACAGACCGACCTCACGGGTTCGGCGACTCCCTTGCCAGTGCGGGGTATGGCTCGTGGCCCGTGGGATGGAAGACTACCGCAGCACCATCGATCGGTGGCGATGCCGTCTACACACAGCGGCTTGCGCGTAGATGCTCTCGAGATGACCTTCGAGTTCCCTTCTATTGCCTTGCTGCAGGGCGCCATGGCGGCACGTTGCCGTACGCACGGAATGTGCGTGTGCAGCAGCTGTGGTCGTATATCTCGCCTCGACCCCCCTCGTTCCGTCTCATAACGCTCTCTCCGCGCACTGGTAGACCTCTATCCGACCACTGTCCACTATCCTGCAACTATGGCGTCGACAATCAGCACATCAAGCCAGTCGACCGTCGCTGAGAATGTGATCTCCAGCATGAGGAAGTCGTTGAGCGATCTCCGCGTATGTGTCCCCGACGTTTTTACGCTCTCCCCAGGCAAACTCACATTAACATGCCCTGCTAGGCCACTCTCGGCTCACTGGGCGAGGAGACTGTCCAGAGCATACGACAGGGTGGCGAGAAAGAGATCGAGAACGAACTCAATGGGTATGGAACTCTGTCTCCGTTCGTGTATTGAGCTTGGCGATTAAGAAACTACGTGTGCCTTTTTTAGGATCAAGCAAAAGATGGGTAAATCTGAGAAGAAACAGAAAGCGGAGATCGACGAGATAAATGGTACGTCGGACTGTGCGCAGTCTATAAAGCTTTTCAATGGCCTGATGAGACTGTCCCAGCGCTCGTGAAGCAAGTACTGGAAGAGGAACTAGTCAGGCAGCTGACGGACCTCAGTGAGTGCCGATCGAGTAGAGCGTACAGCCTCGATATATGCTCATCGTGCCCGTAAATCATCAGTCCAAAGAGACGTCCTCGAAGAGATCGATGACCTTGTGAAGGCACAGGTCGCCCTGCAGCTGCCCAATCACCTCCCGCCAGGCCAGCTTGAGGAGATTCAGCGCCACAAAGATGAGCTCGCGCAGCTCGAGCTCGAACTGCACAACGCGTAAATACACTTATCATTCGTATATTTATCGGACCGGGCAATAGATCTCATGGTGTGCCTCCCCTTTCCCTCCCCTCTCAAGCGAAAGCGTCCGCCAAAACGCCGCGTTGCTGATGGACGGTGATCTCGAGCTGCATCCCCTACGCACGCCGCAGAACATCGTCAGCGCCAGCTTCCCCCGCACCCTCGGCGAGCTCTTCAACATGAGTGGTACGCCTTTCCCCTTTCACCCACATGCACACCACCGCCCCTCACTTACGTACCTTTTACTCGCAGAGCAAACCGCCGTGGTGCTCCTGCAGGAGCACGGCCGCCCCGACGCGATCGTGTCCGGGCCCGGCTCGCACGAGAAGAACGTGAACGAGTTCATGCGTCTATGCGGCGTTCGGTACCTCCTGGTACGGCGCCGCTCCCCCTCGTAGCTGTATGCGGTTTTGCTCACTGAGGCATCTGCCATTTGACCGGGTGCTGCACAGGCCTCGCTGAACGGCGGCGCCGCGATGCCCTGCAGCCCGACGATGGCGGCGGCAGCAGCGTCGGGGACGTTCCGTAGCTTCACGCTCTGAGGGATGGAGGTCGCGGCCGGGAGTGGCGGACATCAGGCGTGTTGGCACTCCTTGTATGATAGTCGGTTTCTTGTATGATCGAAGTTCGTTGTACGCTGTAGCTAGTGTAAAGTTGTCGTTGGTATCTTCGAGGGCGGATTCTAAGATATAGCGCAACACTTCTAGATATCATCCACACAGTCTACGGCTATCAGCTAGGGGGATGGACAGCACCCGAGGACGTACATACATATTTCTAGCTCGCTCCCATAAGGGTGTTCAGCGAGCGAGCCACCATTCCTACCGCCTCCATCACACACTCCTTGTCCTTGTCACGCACCAGCCGCATTATCCGGCCCTCGAACTTGTCCGGGTGGAACCGCAGCATCGTCTCCCGCAACTTCTCCTTTCGCTCCTTCTTCGCGACATCGGCGTCGGAGTGCGAGGCCACCTCTGGAGGTAGAAGGAACGCAGAAATGGCTTCCGCGGTGAGGTCGTCCATGACCACGGCAGCGTGCTCTTCGTGCTTGCTCGACGATATTGGAGGCATGATAGGCCAAGGTACGTCACGGAAGCGCAGGCTGCCCTCCTTCGCTGTGGTGTCTGGCGCGAGCAGCTCCTTCCACCGCGTGTCGTAGAACTCGCGAGCTTCGACTGCGCGAAGCTGCTCCCGAACGCTCTTGCGCTTCCGGCGCTCCTCCTCCGCTGCGCGCTCCATGCGCCGTGTCTCCTCCTTGACCGCCTTCTCGCGTTCGCGACGGGCCTTCCGCTCCGCGTCGCGGCGCATCTGCTCCTCGTGTTCTGCAGCATGCTTCTTCCTACACACCCACTCAATAAGCTTGCGCGCGCGCGAGGCAAAACAACAACGTACCTCCACATGCCCGACCGCACCCACTCCGCATAGTCCTCGTCCTCCATGTACTTCGGATCGATGCCCACCTCGTCGTCCATGCGCTCCATCCCGCCACCCCGCCAGCGCCGCGGTATGTGCGCGTACGTGTTCAGCGAGGCCTCGACGGAGTCCAGCCGCTCGTCCTCGCCCAGAGCCTCATACAACTTGTCCCGAAATCGCATCTCCTCGATCTCCGCCTGGATGCGCTCGTAGTCCGGCTTGTGCGCGCGGTGGCTGCCCGCGCCCGAGCCAGAGGCCGACCCTGAGGTAGACGCAGCGGCAGGCTGTGGACCATACTCGGAGTCGCTGTCATGGTATGTGCTCTGCGCGTCCTCCGTGCGCCGTCGTTTGCGTGCGTGGGCGCGCTCGCGCTCGTCGTAGGAGTCCGCCTCCTCGTCGTCAGACCGGGACTGAAGTTTCTTCTTGGCGGCTTTGCGCGCGGCTTTCTGCGCCTTGCGCCATTCGCGCTCTGCCTCCTCTGCGGGTGTTCGTTTGAGATGTAGCTTCCCTTTGGGCATCGTGAGGGACAAGAGGTGAGGGTATCAAGGAGAGCAGGTGCGTTCCTGGAGCGCTGGTGGCGCGGACGAGCCGAGAAGTAGCGCCCGTGCACGCCCCTTCGGGTAATTCCAAGTGGCGGTGCACCTCATTCTGGTTCTTCGCCACAACATCGTTGGTCGAAAATTAGGCCATGGGTTGCCTCATGAAATGTCTATATGATATGAACTGGTGCTTTGGCAGCTAGTATTTTAATCACGCAAACTGCTTGCGTGCGGGTAGCCTACTCGATGCGCTACCCAAGGTGGTGCGGGCGGCGATCACGGTCAAAGTAGTACATTGTATAGCTTTTTCGACCGATGCATGTCGTGAGACCGATTGCAGGAGCTTGGTGTACCGCAGGCGTTACAACGTGCCTCTGGGAATGCCCAATGGTATATTTCAAGCAAGACAGAATATAGGTTTGGACACTCAGCGTTCTCCGTGAAAGTGGAAGCGTTATCTCCTTTTGCGCTGGTTTTACAGCAGTTCTGTAGCCGAACAACGAGCTTGACCAAAAGAGGCGAACGAGGATCCTCGCTGTCTGCCTCGTGCACGCGTGCATGTCTGGCAAAGACCATCACTTCCCCAGAGTATGCGAGCTCGAAAAGAGCGGTCTCGAGCGTGGGGCGGGCGCGATTCGCAGCCAGCGCGCGTAGATCAGATTTCGCAGCACTCCGGACGTTTTCCGCGCTGCATCAATGCTCCTCTTCCTTCACTCGTCCTCGAGGCTCTCTGGCCTCTCTGTCTCTTGCGTCCGCCCTCCATACAGATCCCTGGCGAGCGTACGAACATGACAACCAGCAGGTACAGGCTTTGGGCGGCCGATCGGGCGACCAGAATTGGTAGGGCGCAGCGTGGGAACCGATGACTCTAGTAGCCATACTTTGGCGGTGATCTCTGTTCAGCCTCCTCAGCCTCTTTCCATCCCAACAACACCTCGTCTTCCGACTCGTCCCCCCGACCCCCTCAATTTCCTCCCTTACGCGCTGCAGTCATGAGCTCTGCTTCACCACCGCCGGCGCGCGAGTTCACGGACCCGCCAAATTACCAATTCCCCACCCACCGCCTCACCCGTATCCTGCGCAACCCAGACAAGCAACCTCTTGTCCTCGTCGCCTGCGGGTCCTTCAGCCCGCTCACTTATCTCCATCTGCGCATGTTTGAGATGGCCAAGGACTACGTTCGCCAGAACACGGATCTCGAGATCGTTGGGGGCTACCTGAGTCCCGTTAGCGACCAATACAAGAAGCCAGGTCTGCTCAGCGCACAACACAGGTGAGCATATCGCATCCAGTTACGGTTCAGACCCTCCCCCTATGTCGGTTTCGTGTGGGAGTGTTCTGCGTCCACCGCTGATAGTGGAGCAATTATTGCACCCTCAATTTGGTCACGTGAGCCGTAGCACCTCATCGTCTTCCGCATGTGCGGGAGAACGGTGAGAGCGACAGGAACATTCAGGAGAGACTTTAAAGAGGGGATGGCCCGTCAGGGCAGTCGGTCTCGCGCGGAAGTAGCATGCTTAGTGTGGGAGGCCGTATGATCCCGTGTCCCTGAGGGTATGGGTTCGTGACCCGGCCTCGGGATGGGTTGTCAGCATCTCGGCGCTGGTATAGCCCTTTGGCGCAGGTGTTTTGCGGAGCATATTCCGGCGTCCTGCGGCATTAGCGGGTAACTAGTGGACCACTTGACACGGCCGGCAAGGTGCGGACGCCCCCATGGCCAAGTGCTATAGTCGGGGTGTGACCTGACCAAAAGGCTGAAATGCATGCGATAGTTTAACGCAGAGTTTAGTTATCACATGGCTATAGTGGCATGTCGGTTTTGGCCTTCATCTGCCGTGCATGAACCTCCAGCATTGGAGCGCAATGTGCGCCCTCTGTGACGCTCCACCTGTGCTCGCCCTCGATTAAGTCGCATTATGGCGCCGCAATGCTTGGCCACATGGGCCATTCGCCGCGGGTGGCCTATGTGGCTGAGCTCTGACGGGAACATGCACGGGTGTGTGGTATGGCGCACGACGAGCAGCGATAGCTCATGATTGGCGCAATGGATAATGAGTATGAACGATCACTCGTCACTCCCAAGTGGTTGGCTGAGATTGTTCCGATGTTTTGAGGAACGTCATCTGCGGAACATTGCGTTCCCTCTGCTTATCTTGCACGCGTTCTTCGAGTATCCTAGTTTACGCGGTTGCTAACATGTTTTCCATCGCAGAACAAATATGTGCAACCTCGCTGCTGAGCAAACGTCGCAGTGGTTGATGGTGGACCCCTGGGAAGCGTTCCAGTCGTATCAGCGCACTGCGGTTGTGCTCGACCACTTCGAGTACGAGATCAACACCAAGCGTGGCGGCATCGAGGCCAGCGACGGTACCCGGAAGCCCGCACGGATCATGCTCCTCGCTGGCTCGGATCTCATTGCGACGATGAGCGAGCCGGGCGTATGGTCTGAGTCGGACCTCGACCACATCCTTGGGCGGTACGGCGTGCTCATCATCGAGCGCGCCGGTGCGGACATGGACCAGGCGATCGACAGCCTCTCACGATGGCGGCACAACATCCACCTCATCCACCAGCTTGTCCAAAACGACGTCTCCTCGACCAAGGTCCGCCTCTTCCTCCGACGCGGCCTGAGCGTGCGCTACCTTCTCCCCGCCCCTGTCGTGGACTATATCGAGGAGCACGGGCTGTACATGGACGACGGGCCCAACTCGAGCTCGGCGGCCGGTGCGATAGCGGCGGAGAAGGAGAAGGGCAAGGAGAAGGAGGCGTCGTCGTCGGCCTCATAGTCGTGATTCCCGGGCGGACTTGGTGTGGTGTACGATTTGCTGAGGAGTGTCTTGATTAGCGTTAGAGCGGGTTCCGCATTGCTTCCATCTTCCATGTTTCCGTGCTCATGTTTCCCGGGCCACTACCCACCAACAGAAGGAAAGAGAACGAAAAGGGGGGCGCGTCGCGTGAATGCGTTGTATTTGTCTTCCATCTATGCCGTATCTTACACACTAATACTACGGGTCGGTCCGTTGCAGTTCCATTCCTCCCTTCCAGCGCGACAACACGAATATTCATCCTACTCGCCTAATACCGGCTGCCCTGGCCAAGCTCCAAGGCACGCCGTCCTAGGTCGCCTTGCGCGTCCACACCTCGCGGCCCGCAACCCACGTGCTGAGCACCTTGCCCTTGCGGTCGAGCACGACGAGGTCCGCGTCTGCCCCAGCGCGCAGCGTGCCCTTGCGGTGCTCGAGCCCGAGGCAGCGCGCGGGGTTGTACGTCGCGCAGCGGAGCGCCTCGCCGAGCGAGCAGCCCGTGAAGCGCGAGAAGTTGCGCACGCACTTGTCGAGCGTGACGACGGAGCCGGCGAGCGTGTCCGTGCCCTCGAGGTACAGCTTGTCGCCGGCCTTGACGAAGCGCTTGCCGTCGCGCCATGCGTGGATGCCGTCTTTGAGGTTCGGGTCGAGGATCTTCATCGCTGGAGGCACGGTCAATATTTCGACGGTCACTGTGATAGAAAGAGGACGTACCGTCCGTGATGAGGATGCAGCCGTCGGGGTACGCCGAGTACGCAAGCTAGGGTACACATTCAGCACACGCGGCATGTAATAACAAACACCGGCGGCACATACCCTGACGGAGTTCGGGTGCGAGTGGATGCCGTCGACGATCATCTCATAGAACGGACGCTCGAACGCGAGGTCTGCGACCTTGCCCTTCTGTAGGCCCAACTCGAAGCCCTCCTGCGCGCGCAGCAGCGGCGTCTGCGGCGGCGTCTGCACGTCGTCGAACGCCTCCGACGCCGGCTGCGGGCCCGCCTGCGCGGCCGCACGCTTCAGCACGGACGGCACGCGGTGCAGCGACGCGAGCGCGGCGGCCTGTTCCTGCGCGGCGGTGCGCGGGGACTCGGCGGGGGACGCGCCGAGGAGGCCGATGATGGAGGGGTCGCGGTGATGCAGCTGCGGCATGGCGTTGAAGAGGTGCGTGATGAGGCGCGCGCCGCGCTGGACGGCGGCGGTCGCGATGTCGGTCGTGGCGATGCTGTCGTCGCGTGAATATCAAGAATAGCGTGAAATGGCGAAAACGGTTACCTGTGGCCGATGGAGAATACGACGCCACGGCGAACGAGCTCTTCGACGGACGACATGACGCCGTCGACTTCAGGCGCGGCTGTGATGACGCGCACGCCGAGCGCGTCCTCAGTGTCTCCGGCCATGAGCCAGTCCTCAGTCTCGGCGAGGTTCTCTGCGCCGTAGACGTCCTCGAAGGATTTGATCTCTTCCTTCGCGGGGACGAGGAACTGGGGTGCGTGTGCACCGCGCTTGGCAAATTGGATGAACGGCCCTTCGGCGTGCCAGCCGAGGAGCGTGGCGGAGCCGGGTGCGCTGTATGGGCGCAGGAGGTGAAGGAGTTTCGGGTAGAGCGATCGCTCTTGGGTCTGTGCAATAGCGTCAGAAAACGTGCTCGCCAGAGACAATGTTTACTGGGTGAGTGAGATATAACGCGAAAACACTAGTGCTGAGGCTATTCCGAGCTTCGTTCAGAGAAAATGCCAGGGCATATGCACGGTACATAGCGAACGCGCAACACTGCTTGATCTCCCGAAGGTCTCTGGCATGCGCACTCCTCTGTACTCCATACAATCTGTAGGAATATCCCTTGCGGCAGTGCACAGACCGGATGGCACAGCTTTTCTTCAGCGGAAAACCTTGCGGAATTACTGTTTGCAGGATCATAGCAACCTGGGTGACCGTACATAACCCTTCGAAATGGATCAAATGGCTCGGTATAGTACGGCCACCCGGCACTGAGAAGCGTCCGGTTTCCCAGTAAAAGTGCAAAAGACTCACGATGATGGTGGGTAGCAGTCTAGGAAGCCGGTGTGAGGGTCGAGACCTGCTCGGCTTTCAGGCAAGTACTCACGACGTTACTCCCGTCTCGACGATGTTCTTGGCTACACGCCTCAGCCCAGCGGTGTAAGCCTCATCATCGTCTTCATATACCGAAAAGTCGAAGTTGTATGCGCCATTGATCTGTATGTCAATGAGTCCGGGACTAAGGGAGCGTCAGAACTGAGCAGCTGAAGGCGTACGATAGCGGACTCACCTGAGGATGTTCCCGCCGAGGTCAATAATCCTGTCCGGCCTCTCCTTACGCAGGAAGAAGGTGCGCTGTGAGTCGAGGATAACCCCGCGCCTCTCGTCAATCCAGAGGTCTTTCTGCACGAGCCCGCCATCTTCCGTAGGCAGCAAGCAGTTTGTGAAGCAGATAAGGCCGTTTGCGGAGGACATGGTGGCAAAGCAGAGAGCAACAACTACTTCGGACCAAATGCGATGCAGTATGTTTTATCGAAGTGCGGGCTCACTCTAGGCGTGATCGCTTTCCATTCTCAGTCCCCGCGGCATTGGCCAGAGTTCGAGAGCATGTGGGCGCAGGCCAATCGCGGCGTCGAGCAGCGTGGTCGGCGAACGTTCCATCGGCACGCCGGCCCACAAGTGGCATCAGCAGAGCGCCCAGGTGAGCACTATGGTGAGCAGTCATTGGACAGAGCGGTGAGAAGGGCAGTCAACTTGGCAGATGGACGACGTGGTGAGGTCGCGAGTAAAGTCACCGCCGTCGCCGTCACCGACAGTGAGCAGCAGTGAGCTCGAAGCTGGCTGCCGGTTTGAGCGCTTGTGCCGGTCCGATCACCGGGATCGGCCGAAGACCTCCTGAGGCTTTGGCGACGACCGTCGAGTGCAGGCTTCACTCAGTATGTGACCGCCACCACCACCACCACCACCAGTTGGAATTGCTTGTATATTTGAGCTGTTTGAAGCTCGGAAACTGTCTATACGTCAGACATCAATTGCTCAAGGGATACAGAATTTAACATCTCTCACATATACTACTGTGTGCACGACGCGTAAGCACGCAGTTGAATATTAATCATGATTCAGACTACATACTAACTTTTCTCGTCCCTTTTCTAGGTAAGAGGACGCCCTGGGTACATGTATTGGCCGCAGGCATCCGTAAAAAAGTTTAATGAGTGTCCCGCAAGAGGGCGCAAGTCACCGAACGCGTGTCTGATGAAGACCATTACCCCGCCGCACTCAGACTCTAAAATGGTCCAGGCAAGTTTGCAGCACATGTGAGGGGACTTGTGGTTTCCCGGGGACACCTGAGTCCATCGTGAAATGTACATCGCTGTGCTTCTGTCTTTGTCCGGCGAGACACATCCCGTTATGGCCGGTGATAGTGCTGATCCGGCAGTTCACTTGGGAGCACAAGACTGTCAGAGTCTTCATCCTGGTCGGTCGCGATGGCTCCTTGCAGAGCAAGCCAGTACGTAAATTTTCCCTCCATAGCAACAGGCCGTTCAAGCGTACAAGATGCTCTTCGCGCTCCGCCTGCGACCGGAACCCACATTCCCTCCTGGTGATCTTTTGACGCACTTTCTCTCTCTCTGCCAGGCTCTCACCATCACGCCAGGAGCGTCGCGATTCCGGTGCAAGTCAAGATGACTACTTCGAAAGGGCAGGGCTCAGGGTCGAGACCGGAGGTTGACTCAGTATAGCCCGACATCGAAGACCGGTCCCGCTCTTTAGCGGCATCATGTGTCGGGGGACTCCTGCAAGATGGTGGTGAGTCAGCTTCACTCACTTGCGAGTTGCGGGTCACCGCTAATGTTTAGTTGCTCACTTCCCGTCATACAGACCAGCGGCCAATGGCTACTTCCAGTAGTGTCGCACGCGTAGTGCTGAACATCTGGCGGTATGTTGCTGCACCCATAGCGCCTATACCGCCCTAGTCTATAAGGCTGAGCTCTCTTGCGCTATAAAGGCCTCGTATTGCGCGCGTTCATTTCATGACAGTTTCCCGATTCCTCCGTCCGACGTCAAGATCGTTTCCCCTGCGCAGATGCTATGTTGTTGCCATCTGCCATCTGAGTCGGCACGACTAGTCATTGAATATTGTATGCGGTCGCAGTGCGTACCCATGGTCTACACCGAGGGTATATATACTGGTGTCGAGCACATACTCCAAGCCATCGGGTCCGGATAAGAGAGTCACTCCTCTCTCGCGTCTCCAAAATTCCCTACAAGCCCATGATTTCACACAATTCAGCGACTATGACGACCGCTCCTGCGCCTACTCCTCGCGACGTCTCCACGACTCTCAACTACCACTTCGCTCTCGACGATGAGCCACCGTACCAGTATGCCCTCCAGGAGCCTCCCCCAGGCACGAAGAGGACGAACGTCACCTTCGAGACCCACCCCGTGGTCGTGCATGATGCGCGTGGGCGCGAAGACGAATTGACCCTCGACACGACGGGGTTTCAATTCTTGGTGTCGCCCAGCACCGAGAAGGCGTTTGACAACGACGAGCGCATCAAGTTTCAGTACTACCCCGAAGTCGAGGCGCTCCTGAAGAAGGTCACAGGCGCGAAACGCGTCTTCATTTTCAACCATATCGTCAGGTATGCCACTCCCCTCGTTCCGCGTGACGAACCTAGATTAATTCGCCAGTGTAGACGCAGCATTGATAAGGAGATGGGGATGACAGAGAGGAATCGCGGCCCTGTGGTAGGCCTTTCACGACGGCTCATCATTGAGCGCATGCACTCACCTCCGTTCAGGAGGGCGTGCATGTCGACCAGGCATACGACGCAACCGTAAAGCGCGTGCACGAGCACCTCCCCGAAGAAGCCGACCGCCTCCTGCAGTCACGCGTGCGCCTCATCAACGTCTGGCGGCCGATCGCGAACCCCGTCGCGCACAAGCCGCTAGGAGTCTCGGACTGGCGCTTCCTCGACGAGCGCGACCTCGTCCCTGTGCGCCTCATCATGCGGCACCGCGAGGGGCGCACGTTTAGCGTGCGGTATAGTCCGAATCACCGCTGGTACTACCTCTCGAGCCAAACCCCGGACGAGGTGACGCTGATCAAGTGCTACGACTCGGAGGTGGATGGGAGGGCGCGGTTGAGTCCACATTCGGCGTTCTTGGATCCGACTTCGCCGAAGGACGCACCGCACCGGCAGTCCATCGAGGTTCGCGCTCTGGTTTTCGATGCGGATTAGCTAGATACCCCTCTATTTTGAGTATTCCGGTTTCTTATGTGGTGGCATATCTGAGAGTTGTATGCATTATTAGTTTGGAGCTTGTATGTATATGCTAGTACTATACACGCGCAACAAGATGGTGTCATATGTGGGAAGTCTCTTACCAGAACGGGATTGAATGTCATGACGTCACACATACGAGCAGCGTCGCGTCCTTTGCGCTGGCGGAAGAGTTGACTAGCTTGATCACCAACCACCACCATCCTCTTCCTCTCTATCATGTACCCGCACTGAACACGTTTATATATTGAAATTTCCAGGATCCTTGAAGGCATCTAGGTATAGGACGTTCTCTATACACAACAACGCTACGCACATCAACTGCCAGTATGCGCATATAGTCACTACGTTTGCCGAATTTATCCACGGTGAGTCGCACTTTGGTGATGGAGTGTTCAATGCTAGAACGACATGCATTAGGAGAACCAAAATGTCCACTATCATAGCGACTACAGTACGTTAATCCGCTCGTATGCGTATGCGAAGTCCGTAACCTTCATGACCAAGATGCTCGAAAGCGAAAGAGCGAATGGGACTAGGCACACTGCCCTGTAGCCCGTGTCCATGGGGGTGCAAAACGTGGATGAAGCACGCACGCATAAAGATAGCAACACCGACAACAGCAACAGTCCACCCCCTACGCGCCCGGTTGGCATCCCGTAGCAGGAATCGCAGCGTTGACCGCGTCCCAAGCGTCGGGGTACGCGCACCCTGGGATCGGAGTTTGCGCTGGCGTGGTGTCTTGCGGGTTCGTCCACCCGTTGCCGACAGCAGCTGTGACGGTGACCCCTGGCGTACTGAATGTCGGCGGGGGAAGCGTCGGGATCGTGCCCGTGGGCGTGTACTGGGGGAGACGCGCCATGTCTGCCGCGTCGACGTTCATGAGCTGTGGCGGCCACGCGAGGTCTGCAGTCGCTCCGGGAGCAATCACTCCCGCGCCCGCGCCACCCGTCTGCCACGACTGGAACTCGCCGTTGAAGGGCTGCATCTGGACGCCGAGGTGCTCGCACTTGCCCGAAGCGGTACGGGGGTCTGTCGGCATCCAGCCATTCTGGAGCCCGAGCTGGTACGACCAGAGCGGCGCGCGCACGCTGTTCGTCGTCGACGAGGGGCCGATCTTCCAGGTCCAGAAGAACCAGTCGCCGAGCGCGTCCATGCTCGCGAGCGCGAAGTTGAGCAGGCCCTGCTTGGTCTCGTCCGACCATCCGGAAGCGTCCTCCCAGTAGGGGCATCCGGGGCCGTACGCAGCGGCGTTTGGGCCGTCATCGTTGACGCCGTTGATGTATAGGCCACAGTCGTTGATCGCGTTGCTGAACTCGCCGGCGAACGTCACTCCAAAGGCGGTACGGCTAAGGCAACACGGCAAGATCAGTACAGTCTACTACCTCCTGGGTAAGTGAAAACCATACCTGGTGTTCATCATTCCCGCCCACGAATTACAGGCATCAAGCGGCCACTGGCCACCCAATTCTTGGCCGTCTCCGCCATCCGCGGTGACGTTGACGGGTTCCCTGTTGGCCTTGCCGTTGAACGCGAAATACGGGTGGGTGTCTTTACCATGCGGAGATTAGAACAAAACTCAAAAGATAATGGCGTTAAACGTACCAAGGGCGACACGGTCGGCTCCTGGAAGGAAGTTCGCCCAACCGCCAGGCCCGGAGAATCCGTCGTGGATGGCAAGCATGGGACCATTCCCCGCGCCTGTCCCGGTCGCCGCACGGATGGTCTGGTACTCTTTCAAGTAGCTGTCTGGACGTCAGCACTTGCATAGGCACGAGACGATTCTCGCGGACTTACAAGGACTCAACCACAGGACGCGAAATCTTGGCCATGAACGGCTCGTTGATGGCGCTGAAGATCGGGATGAGGTCCTTCCATTCGGGCTGAGAGATGAACTCGGCGATGATACGCTGGTAGTCGAGGGAGCGCTCTCCGTTCGCGAGGCCCATCGGGCCGTTCATCCAGTTGATCGAGCCGTCCTTGCCCGAGTGGTTGAAACCGTTCTGCGACCCAGGGATCGTGTGGAGGTCCAGGTTGACACGGAGGCCATACTTGCGCGCCCAGCCCAGCAGCCGGAGCACGTACTTCCAGCAGACGCGCGCCAGGAACGGCTCAGCGACCTTTTGGCCGTTGCCGTCTACGCCGACATCGTTCCACGCCTCGATCGCCCAGAACGGGATCTGAAGGCGGATCCAGTTCAGGCCTGCGCCTGCGATTTCGGCAATGTCCTGCTCGGTGATGAACGTGTTGTAGTGGTCCTCAAGCGCGCTTTGCAGCTGGCCCTTCTGCGCGAGGATCGTGCTCAGCGTCCACTCGTCGACCGCGCCGGGGTTCGCTTCGAACAGCGAGGGGATGATGAACGGTTCTGGGACGAAGAGGCCGCCGATGTTCACGCCGAAGATGCGGTCCTTGCCCCACGTCCAGGTCGTGTTGAGTGGCGGCGTCCAGGAGTTCGCTTGGGCCGAGTTGTCGAAAGGGTTCTCTGGGTTGTTCACCCCTGGAAGAAACAGTCAGCTTCTGAGCGTCTACTCGAGCCGATTTTGACTTTCTGGGGATGCGTGCCGCTAGCGTTTACCGACGCCGCACGCTTACCGCGTCTTCGCCGCGGGGAGAAGGGGACGCAAGAAATCGATACTCACAGAAACCGCCAAACTGGTTCTTGTAGGTGAATGTGGTACCGTCCTCCATCGTGACCGTGCTGCCGTCTCCGCCAGTCGTAACCGCGGTCTGGACGGGCTTCGGGGCAGCTGTACTTGACCCGCCGGCGGTGCTCCCCGACCCATTACCATTTGACGCCGCGCCAGAAGACGCGCCGCTCGAAACGGCGTTGTGTTGCTTCGGCTTGATGACTGTGAAGTAGACGGGGATCACGACCGCGACGACCACGATCGCGAGGGCCAACAAGGACAAGAGCCAAAACCAGGCGCGCTTGTAGAAAGGCGGGCGTGCGGCGTAGTCGGCCGAATCGGCTCCGCTATAGCTTTCTTTCGAGGGATGTTCGCCCTCGGGCAGGACGGCGTCGGTAGAGCCAGAGTGGGGTAGCATGAGGGCATCGTCGCGCGGGGTGGACGCGAGCGAGCGGTCGGGTATAGGGCCCGAGAGGGGCCGAGGAGGACCTAGGAATGGGGAACCCTGGGCGGAGAGGTGATCGGACCCTGCCTGGTCGAAGGGGTTATACTGCGACGACCTGGACATGGCGGACGCGGGGATGGTGGTGAATGCCCCGAGCGTGGATTGCGCGTGAAGAGGGTATGGGGGCAGGTCCTGTACGGTGCACCTGCTGGGTTATATGAGCCCGCCGCGAGAGCGGGAGCTGGGAAGCTGGGCGGGCCCGGAGGGGGGGCGAGGGACGCTGGGATGGCGGGGAAAGGAGAAGGTGCGCACGGCAGGCCCATCCGCGCGAGAGCGCGACCATATACTCGCGCGGGGAAATGGACAAGTCGATTCTGGCCTAAACGCGTCCGGCTCACATGTCGGTCTTCCTCGCGGTGGCAGCTGTGCGGCCATCTGCCCTCCTATTTTGCCCGCCACATGACCCCGCCCGAGTTGTACCGTCTTCGCGCAACCCCGTCGTCCTGCTGGCCTTGCCGAACCGATCTGCGTGCGCCGGTGACGACGCCGCGCTCCTGGAAGGGTTTCTTTCGCTCTTTGCGCGTCGGGCGGGCTGCGAGTCCATGGAACGGAGAGCGTTCAAGTTGGCGCGCGCGGCCACCGTCCGTGCATTACTGGCGCCCCGGCTCGGGCTTGGCCTACTCTCACGTCGGCATCAGAAGCCGGAGCGAGGCATGGCTGTAAATGGTAAGCATGGTCTCGTTCGTCGGTGTTTCTCGAGTTCATCTGCCTCCGCTGAGTTTATCGATGAAAGCGCAGATCCATCCAGCCTCGTGGCCTGGACGTGTGGCGAACTTCTCGCTCAGCTGCAGGCTACAGGTGGACATCTCGGAGCGCGCGTATCGTCGAATAGTATCGTTTGCGTCGTACTTGACGCACTCAATCCATTTTCTGTGAGTTATGGAGGCCAATTCGAACTGACCCTCTGCCACATTTTACCTCACCAGGGCAGGTGGAGTCCAGGCACCGAGGGCGCATCAAAGGCGATCGTGGGGAGGCGCCCGTCGATCACCGCGAAACGGCACGGCTACTGAACGCCATGGCCTAGATCGCGAGCTGTGCAAGCGCTCCGATTCTCTTGCATCCCGACCCCGGGCAAGCCAACGTCCGACGGAGTGAGGCGAATCTTGGATTCACGGCGGGAATCGCGGACGTCAATTCAATACTACCCAGCTACAGAAGCATCTCTGGGCAGCTGCAATCCCACTGGGAAACGAGAGAGAGCCTGAGTACATCTAATTATCACATTGAAAATCGCAGCCTGAGGTACCACGGCTTGACATCATAGCAACGTCGTCATATGCTACAACAGGACAGAAATGCTAGTACACATGTGGGAAAACATACCACATCTACTGGATGCATCCTGCCTATGAATCGCAACTAATCCGTCATGGAGTTCAAGCAAGCTCAAGCTACCCGCAGCTACCACCCCTCTTCCTCCTCTGCGTTCCCAAAACCCAGCTCTGCGAGCTCTCCCATAACCTGTCGGTTCCCACACTCGGAGCCATCGTCAGACCAAGAACCCCCCGGCATGGGACTGTCCCGTCCCACAGGTCCCAGCATGTATTCGTGCGGTTTTCGATCGCACGACCGGACGACCTCGGCATATTCCATCGACGGAATCGCGTCCACGACGCGTTCTGCGTACTTCTCCAAGTCCGTAGTCACGACATACTTCTCCAGGGGGCAGAAATATTCCCTCTGATACCCAGGTGGCGGTGTCCGCTCGTGGCCCCTACTAATGAGCCCGTAGTTCAGAGTGAGCTTCAGGGTGCGTAATGTCATGGCCCCCATCGTCTCAAGAATGTCTTCCTGCAGGCCGCGACGGTTGGGGGTGAGAATAATCCAACCAGGTTCAAAAGCACTCGACGCTGCACTCACCAGTAACCTTGTTAACTCGACATCCCCATCCGACGGTTGGAAGACCAGCTCAACGTCTAGAGCATGCAGGCACTGCGCAACTGGGGCTCGCAGCACACGCGACAACGGTCCATCAGGTCCAAAGACAACGCTACCAACCACGATCAACGCAAGAGAGGACGGCCGCACGTCATCCAGGATGTCTTGTAAACCTCCGGCTCCGAGCGCGTATCCATGGATCGTGTTATCCCCCTGTAACCGCAGCTCTGGTACGTGGCACACCAGCCCGAGCGCCCACACGTCCGCAGCGGTGCCCTCGACGACGCGCAGCCGCTGCCAGCTGCCGTGGTTCACCTGGTCGTCCCGGTTGGCCTCGCGCACGGCGCGTGCCTCGAGCCGCTCGAGCACGACAGAGGCCCCGGTGTCTTGCCAGGGCTGCGCGCGGGGCGCGGTGAGCGCGAGGAACTCGACGTTCGGGAACGCCTGCACATACGCGGCGGTAGCGGGCATGGCGCCGCCGCTCTTGTATGATGCGTGGATGCGGCGCACGCGCGGGTACACGACATCGTATCCGATGGCGTCCGGGCGTACGTCGAACCCTGAGCCCGAAAGCACCTCGAGTGTGTCTGCGGATCCGCCGAGGCGCACGATCGGGTTACGCGTCTCGGGGTCGTTCAAGGCGCCCCACTCTGCGCCGGGCGAATCGAACGCAAGCATGGCGGACACGAGCGTGTTTGGGAGGTAGTCCAGGAGCCGGTGCGCGCGTTCGTCGATGGAGGTCATCTTGATATGCTTGAGCGTAGGAAGCCAGGAGAACGCATCCCAAAGAGCAGATCTAGATGCTTGCTCGTCTCCTGTCCAAATTGGGCTACCGGAGCTGAGGACCTCCTCTGCGTCCACCAGGGCGAGCGAGTCGAGTCTGAGGTCGGCGTGGGCGACGATACTGGCGAGCACGCGCACAGCGTCATCGGAGAAGCCGCCCTTGGAGACCGTGAGACTGTGCAGATGCCGGAAGCGGCCGCTGGGTACGCTCGCGAACATGAAGGCCGAGAAGGAGAGGATGTCGACATCGGTGGCGAGTGCGGCCCCGTTGCGTAGGAGCAGTCGCGGGCCCTTCGAGTCGCGATATAGCGCGCGACAGGTCCGCATCAGCGCCGCGATCGTGCGGGGGCATGAGAGCTCCATGACCACCAGGAGCACGTCGAATGGTAGGGCTTGGTCTGCCATCGGAGGGTGGAAGTGGAGGCAGCGAGAGAGACTTGTGGGGCCACGGCGTAGTCGCTGGAACGCCTGTTGCACAAAGAACAAGGTAAGTAAGTCGTGCTTGTGGGGTTGAGAGGATCTGGTCTTCCCTTAAAGCTTGATGATATTCTTAGAGTTCCTTTTCGTATCCAGCGGCAAGTGCCAGAAGCAGAAGCAGGTCACATTGATCAGTCGGCGGCACTTTCCCATGCATATGCCACTGCCGCAGCACTGTCAAGATCGCAAAGGGCGGTGCAAAAGGAGACCCCTCACTCGTCAAAGTAGGACTCCTCCTACCCGCTTCGCTCTATGTTGGACTACCAAGCCTCATGTTATGACTTTAAATCCCTCCATCCCTTCGCCATCACTCGAATGACGTCCACTCGTTATATACGATATGGCCCGCTGGCTTTTCATTGACTTGCAGTTAATGACATCTTCAAGTGAACGGCGACGCTATACTTTTATGACAGCTCGGAAATGGCTTGGCGTGGACACATCAGAGAGGATCACAAGCATAGGCAAGCAGAATCGATGAGGAGGGGTTCATGAGCATCATGGTATGAACTTTGAAGGGAACGAAAGAAGCACCAGGAAAAGGTCTGCCCTCAGGCTGGATTGAACAACCGACCTCACCATTACGAGTGGCGCGCTCTACCACTGAGCTATAAGGGCTGTAGCCGATTGGGCGCCTAGTACTTTCGGATCGAGGCTGAAGGATTCTCTTACGGGCCGTCGCCCGGTGCCTGCTGCTTGATTTCAGCTCTTTCTTCGACGGTCAACTGGTCAACCGTCCTCGACCGTCTCCGCCTTTCTTGGTCGACATGCTATCGGACGATTCAGACGTCGAGGAGATCCATACCCTTACCGTCAACGAACACTTCGCGAAGGCTTTCGAATATCGGAAGGAGCGGGAAGAGCTAGCCAAGCGTGCGTGCTAAGTATTTAGGGTGGAATGTGATATTGACCGCGCTTGACATTCAGTCAAGGAAAAATATGGCTCGGACCTCGATGAGAATGACGAGGATGAAGAGGATTCCGAAGAGGCAGAGTCGGAAGACGAGGACGGCGAGGAGCTCACGCCCGCTGTGGACGCCGCCATCCTGCGCACACTTGCCCGCATAAAGCGGAAAGACCCCGCCATCTACCAGAATGGGAAGGACATCTTTGAGGGTGAGTTCTATCCCCTATATTGACAACGGGTGACCCTTTCTCACTAGTACTGGTGCTCAGAGGAGAAAGAGAAGACGGGAGACGTGCGGTTCTCGCGACGCAGCGCGAAGGACAAGGTACGTTCTCAAACTTGCCCTGCACGAATACTGCAAACCGTCCACAAGCACAATAAGTAACCATCCCGCACCAGTCCAAACCCTTGACCATGCGCCAACACGCCCTCGCGTCTGCTCTCGACGGCGGCGCGTCGCGCTCGGCTTCACCGGAGCCCCTCACGCACGTCGAGGAGCAGAAGGAACTCCGTTCAAAAACCATCGCCGCGTTCCACACTGCAGTCGATGCGAAAGACGAGTCCGAGGAGGAAGAGGATGACTTCTTGGTGCCGCGAGAAAAGACGAAGGATGAGATCGAGCGGGAGGAGGAGGAATACCGCGCATTCCTCGAGCGCGAGGTCGGGGAAGACCTGTCAGAACTCGTTACGGTAGAAACAGACGCGGCGGGGGTATGGGATGGAACCGGCGCGGACTCAGACGGCGACCGCTCTCAAAAGAAGAGTAAGAAGGGGAAGAAAAAGGACAAGAAGCCCTTAAACGGCAAGCAAGATGAGGACCAGGAGTTCCTCTTGAAGTATGTATCTACCTTCCCTGCAATATGCTCTTCGTACTGACTATCCCCAGCTACATCCTCAACCGCGGGTGGATAGACAAGTCCGCGCGTCGCATGCCCACCTACAAAGAAATTACCGGCTCGAAAAAGGGCAAGGGCAGGTCCGATGCGGACTCAGATTCAGAGGGGTCTGATGACAACGATGAAGGGGAGGAGGTCAAACATCAGCCGTTGGATGAGGACGACTTCGACGAGGTTGCGGACCGCTTCGAGAGCTCGTACAACTTCCGGTTTGAGGAGCCGTACGTGTCTCATTCTCGACGCTTATCAGCGCCCGCGCTCACCCGCCGGTTTGCTATACAGTGGTGCCGCGCAAATCACGCGATACCCGCGTACTCTGCCTGAGCTCGTCCGACGGCAGGACACAGCGCGTAAAGAGGCGCGCGAGAAGAGGAAAGCGCGGAAGGAGGAGGAGCTGCTCAAGAAGAAGGAAGAGGTCAAGCGACTGAAGGCACTCAAGCTGAAAGAGCTACGCGCGAAACTTGAGCGCATCGGGCACGAGGGTGGCAAGGTCCTCGCCGAAACCGAAGGTACAATCTTTGACTATTATCTGGTTACATGTATGGCGTATATTAACATCTGTGTATAGCGCTACAAGAGTTGGATCTGGAGGGCGAGTGGGACCCGGCTAAGCACGACGAGCAGATGGCCAAGATCTACGCGGACGACGAGGTATACGATGACGAAGATGAGCTCGTGGATGAGAAGCCGCAGTGGGACGACGACATCGACATCGGCGAGATCATTGTTCCCGAAGACGACAATGACGGGGACGGTGCGTCGAAGAAGAAGAAGAAAAAAAAGAAAAAGAAGAAGGGCGAGGACGACATGGACGAGGGCGGCGTGGACATCGCCGACATGGACGCGGACGTGGAACGTGCCCCAGGGGACGAGGAGGAGTGGGATGGCACGGAGGAGATGCGCAAGAAGAAGCTGGACGAGTATATGGACGAGATCTACGGCCTCGACTTCAACGACGTGGTATGTTTGACACCTTCTGCCCTGCGCCATCTGCTCACCTTGTTATATCGCAGGTTGCTGGCATGCCTACGCGGTTCAAGTACGCGAAGGTCGAGTCGCAGACCTTCGGCCTCTCACCCGCGGAGATCCTCATGGCGACCGACGCTGAACTCAACACCTACATGGGTGTCAAGAAGATCGCGCCGTACCGGAAGGAGGGCAAGGGCCGCAACTGGGACTCCAAGCGTACCGCCCGCCTCCAGGAGCTCAAAGCGAAGCTCAAAGAGCGCGGTATCGGTGGGAGTGTCCAGGCCGGGGTGGTCGCGCAGGAGAAGAAGAAGCGCAAGGGGAAAAAGGAGCGTATGCGCGAGAAGGCCGTCGGTGGCGAGGAGGAAGAGGGGGATGTGCCGGAGCCGAGCGTGCGCAAGCGGAAGTCGGAGGAGAGGGACGAGCCAGAGGAGGGAGACGAAGGGTCTGCGAAGAAGCGACGACGACGGCACAAGAAGTCGACCGCTGCTGTGTCCGCGTAGTGCGTGTACTTCGTTGTAGCTCTCTTGCCGCTGTCTTGCTTTCTTCAATGTGGCTGTTGTACCGCTTTCGGCCTGCGCGTGCGTACATCACTCAGCGGTGCCGCAGCATGCGTGCTGTCGCATGCATGCACTCGGTTTTCCAGGTGCAGAACAACGTACGGGCAAAATACAACGACGCCCCATCAGCCTGCATGCAGGTGCCACTGCACGAGGCATCGCCCTCGGATAAGCGACCATCTCCTTTGTTCTCGTGGGGAAGTATATATACGTGCCCTGCACCACCCTACTCAGCAAGACCGTAGCCCTCCTCACAGCTAAGGAGACAACGGCATACCCCACTCCCAGTATTCAACCTCTGACCGCCTAACCGCTCTCATCTGACGGACAAACCTCTCAATACCAGGCTACCTGGGTGAACTGAGATAGGATCCCTGGCGCATATCCTGCACAGTCTGCCTGGGTAGCCTGGAACACGCCCCAAGTCGCCGGACTCAAGCTTCCGGTGCGTGCTTGACTTATCCCCTGCGATGCATTGTGCTTACCGTAGTGCCATAGACAGACTACCCGATCGCGCACACCTCCTGGTCCTACCCGCCGGCTCAGGTCCTTCCACGCCTCGGCTCAGGTCCTTCCACGCCTCGGCTCAGGTCCTTCCACCTCTGCTCATGGTGGAAGTTGCACGGCGGCGGAGATCTCGGACAGGCCAAACTCTCATTCGCACATCCTCTCTGGTCGGGAGGCCGCATCGGAGGCAAGAAAACTCTGGCAGGCAGACATTGTGGAGAACCCTACGACGCCCTGTAAGCAGCCCTCAGCGTAGCATCACGGCCACACCGCTCACACTAGTCCTCGCATCCAGGTGCTCCGTTCGATACAGATGGAGGTCTGCCATGAAGCCCCACATCGCCATCCAGTAAGCCTCTTCCTCGCTCTCGTGCATCGTCGTCATACTCAGCTCGCCACAGTACGGGATCCAAACGTCCTCAGACATCCCCCCAACGCCTTCATGCTGTACCGCATAGACATGAGCCAGAAACTCATGCAACAAGATGGTCGACAGGGGAGATTGCAGGTCGACTACTCGAAGGAGATCGGTCCTATGGGTGAGGACGAACGGGTGAAGGCGGACCACAATCCCACAAATGGAGCGGAGCGTGCTAATCAACCCGGGGCCAGTCAAGTCCAGTCTTCGACAGCGAGGGTATGCGACGGTGTTGGTATGTCCACGGTGCACATATTCTCGTCAGGACAGCTTGCTGACACCACACTCTTCTTGCAGGGATTTCTTCTGGAAGTTTGTTCCGGTGAATCTTGGGGCGTGCGTGTTGGTCCCTTGTGGACCAACACCTTCTCGGACCTATGCCCCCCTATGTAACTTGCCTTAAATTATGCAAACCCTTTACTCATGATCATGACTGTGTGCTTGTGTGCAAATCTGTGTAGCTTGAGCTCGTGCCGAACCTGTCCATCAAGCAACTGTGTCTGTATTCCCTTCATACATAGCTACATAAGATATAGTGCCCTCATTCCGTCAGCCCTGCCGCCCTATCGGCCCTCTTCCGAAGCGACCCCAGCGACCTCTACCGCGTCCGCACCACCCTCGCCCGACCGTACAGGCCCCGCCATCTGCTCAAAGCGCGCCCACTCCGCCTTCGGCATGCCGTAGCTCTCCGACAGCGCGGGGAAACTGCGCTCCCGCACTGCAGCCATGTACCCCTGCACGCCGCGCGTGGCCTCTGCGCCGACGTCCGCAAAGCGCCGCACGAACTTGGCCTTGTGCCCTCCGTTCCAGGTTCCGACCATGTCGTCCCATACGAGCACCTGCCCATCGGTTCCCGCGCCTGCGCCGATGCCGATGGTCGCCGCGCGCGTGAGGCGCTGTGAGATGTATGTGCCGAGTGTGTGCGGGATCGCCTCGAGGACCATCGCGAACGCGCCCGCGTCTTCAAGCGCTAGCGCGGTCTGCAGCACGTCAAGCGCGCCCTCTGCGGTCCGCCCCTGCGCCCTGAATCCCGACAGCATGACGTGCCGCTGCGGGAGGAGGCCAATGTGCCCCATTACGGGAATGCCGACGCTCGTGAGCCGCCGCACGGTCTCGATGATCTCAAGCCCGCCCTCCATCTTCACCGCTTCGGCGCCGCCCTCGCGCACGAGACGGACGGCGTTCTGGATAGCCTCCTCAGAGCTCGCGAGATATGTCCCGAAGGGCATGTCGGCGACCAGTAGCGGGGTGTGCGAGGCACGCGCGACCGCGCGCACGTGGTGCAGCATTTCGTCGAGGGTGAGGCGCGTGGTGTCATCGTAGCCGAGACAGACCTGCGCAAGCGAGTCGCCGACAAGAGTGACGTCGACGCCTTGCGTTTCGCAAACGCGCCCGGTGGGGAAGTCGTAGGCGGTGAGGACAGTGATCGGGGTGCGCGCAGAGCGCAATGCGTGCAGGTGTTGGAGCGTTACTTTCTTGCGCGGAGGAGCTGAAGAAGTGGAGTAAGTAAGCACATCTTTCTCTTGTCCTAGTCCTCCTGATGTCGGATGAGAGCAGCCTAAGTGTGTGCCCAAACCGCCAGATCGACAGACTGCGTTCGAAGCGTGTCGTAGCACTAAGGCGTCGGTCACAAACTACGCGCCAGACGCGCACGCATGACGCCGGAACGCTCTAATGAACGTTGTACCGGTGTTATGGCGCTTTAGAAATGAAAAGCTGTGCATTTGTTTGCGCATAGGGAAGCACCACGAAGATGTGCCGGAACGATGCCCGTCTCGCGACGGCACACGACAGGGCGTGGTGAGCCATGAAGCCTTCTAGGTTGGCCTGTGCAGATAACGAAGGAAGGCAGAACGGTTACTCACCTGAGCCGTATATCGCACGTTCTTCAGGGCGGTCGCTCATCCATCTTCGAGAGCACCCGCGACAGGGGTAGGCGTATGCCGCGAAGTCGACAAGCGCCGCCGGACGCTGTATCCGCTTAGCCGATCTCAGCATCGTCGTCGGATGTATGTTGTGGTGGTGGATGAAGAGGCGATGGTGCAGATGGGCTGTATAGGGAGGCTGTGTCGATTTTACATTGCGGGCGGGAAAACTGGGTTTCCGGGCGAAATTCAGGCGGACTAAGGGGTGCCATCCGGTGAGTCGTGAGTTCTGTCATCCTCAGCTGCCAGTCCTCGCCCCCTGGGGCGCCGATGGTGTTGCCCATGGTCCGATGGGCCACATTCGTTGTGAGTCAAGATCGAGTCCATCGCGGACGGACCTCAGTCTCGCCGCTTATGTGTGCTCCCGGGTGCCGGCTTGGGTGATATTCATGCCAGAATGGACGTTGTCGCGTGGTCGAGGATGATGCGACGATCTGCAGGTGCATAGGGCGTCCATGCGCAGCAGCATCGTACGAGATGACAGTCCAGAGCAAGGACAGTGGGAGCAGTCGCGGGTGCGGGTGGACGGACTGAGTTTGCATTCGACGTCGCGCTACGTCATCGCGACGCGTGGGCGCAGGCGCCTGTCTCGCACACGCCTCTCTCTCGCCGACCGCGTCTCTCTCGCTGCGATGCTCTCGATCTCGCGACCTGCTAATCGAGTCCTTCAGCCTTGCCCTCCGCGCCTTCCGTGGCGAATCCGTTCGACTCCCTCTCGCTGTGCCACGCTCACTCGCCGTTCGCGCACCGCCTGGCATGTGCAGCCGTTGGCCCATGGGTGCATATACCCGCTCGCACTTGCATTTCTCCATCGATCGGCACGTTCTGCACCGCTATCTCTCTCCCGTACGTCCACTCACTTGTATGCGCACATTTAGGGTCGCGATAGCTCGCACACATGCCGGGCATGCGCATCGCCCACTCCGCGTCACCTCTCGCCGTGAAGCGCGCGAGATTGGACGCGAGTAGACGCCCCAGACACCCACCGTACATCGTCCGCCCAGGGTCTTGTGCGCGACACCTCCTCACGAAACGCAGGGGATCAGCTCGCGAGCCCCGGAAGGAGCTCGCGTTGTAAAATCATCGTCGCCGTCGCAGTTCCTCGCCCGCTATCATCCCTGTACTGCGGCTACTTCTCGCCCTACTCCCCTCGCCCTCCTGTCGTCCTGCGCCCGATGGCGCCCCCGTACCTCGCATATTCTGGCAGCGCACGTCGCCACGCTGCTCCTGGTGTGTTCCCAGCTCACAACGACGCGATTTGCGCTGACTGTGTTCCATTTTCAGACATCCCTGGCCGAGATTGACCCGGTGTACACGCAGCTCGCCAGTCTGTGCCGTCTACAGACGACGGCGGCCCCTCCTGCACCTGCTCGACCTCGCCCTGCTGTCCACGAGCGTCTCGCGAGTGTTCGGGGAACACAGTCCAGTACCCTCGTCACCAGCGCCGACAGTTCCCGCTCTCCTACTCCGACATATCACTCTGCCGCTCCACAAACACAGCGAACATCACGCCTGCACTCCAGGACCATAACCCGTCAGTTTCGCGGCATTTGGAGCAGCTTTCAAAATTGACATTTTCGGCGATTTCATGTGAATTTAGACGAACATGCGCGCCCGGCCGCGCCGTCACCTCCCAGCCCTTCCCTCGACGTCCCCCATACCCCTCGATGCGGGACGCGTCGTTCCGGGACGGATCTGGGGCTGTACGGCCGCGTCGCGACGGCACCGAGGTGCGCACGGAACCCGCCGTTCGCCAGCCCCCCGGCTGCGACGTCTGCACCACGCAGCGCCGAGACCCCGCACTACGGCTGCGCGACGACAGAGGAACGCAGGCTGCACCCTCTGCCGGTGCGTGCGGCACGGCCTAGACGTGCGCTCGCGCGCCTCGCTCTTCTCCTGCGCGCAGGGCCCGCGCCGTGCCCGCCTCTGGTCCGCGCCATCGACGTCCCCACCACCTCGCTCTGCATGCGGATAGCCCTCTGCGTGCCTGGTTACGCTATATACGTGCTCGCGAATACTACACTACCAAGCCCATCCCTCCTGTCCATACGTGGACCCGCGCGGGCAGCACCTGGGAACGAATGGGTGAGCGCATCGTACCGCTAGCAACGGCGTCTCTGACATACCATCGCAGCGCTCTGGCGCTCTGGAAACGATATCCTAGACGACCGCGTGAGACACGGACATGGCGGTGTCTGTACGTACCATGCGCACAGCTCGCTGGCCGTCTTGATGCTGGATTCCAGCTACGCAGCGGGCGTCGGGCGTCGGGCGAGCGGTGCTGCCGGGAGGAGGTCAACCGCCGGTGAGGTGTGCGAGGCCGGCGAAGCTCACCTTCGTGCCGTCGACCAGGACGGCGATTCGCGCTGGCAACGGAGTGAGCGCCTCGGAGCTCGCGGCAGCAGTGTCGTACACACTTCATCGGTTCGGGAGGGCGCTCGCGGACACAACCGTGACCCCGCGTCGCGCATGGAACCATTCACGGCGCTGTGGACGGGACAGACGTCAGAGAGCGCTGGGGAACGGGGGTGAGTGCGGGTGCGTGCAGGGGGTTGCCATACGCTCACCTCTTGCTCCAGCCGCTGGAAATCGACCGTTGTGCTGCCGCGCACGACGCGTGGATGCCCATCGCAACGCTGCCTCTCGCCGAGTCGGGGTCGCGTGCGCTTCTGCCCGCTCGCGCTGCAAGGTGAGTGCATTGCACGGCGCCATGCGTGGATGCGGCGGGAATCTGACGTACCGTTCCAGCCGTCTCCCCCCACCGTCCTGGACTCTGGATGTCCCGCTCCGTGGCGACCGCGTGCGCCATCAACGGTGATGCATACGTACCTTACGCGCTGGGACTGGCGTGGTGTAGTGCGGCCTCAGTAGGCCACACGTAGGCTGATAAGAGATGCGTGAGCTGACGAACAATGACACGGTGTGGAGACTTTCACCTGTGCGCAGACGACCCGCGAGGAGAGACAAACACTGCAAGGGAGGTTAGCACCGCGGACCTGCGGCGGATGCATGATGCGCACCACACCACCAGGCGGGTGCCCAACGTGGAGCTCGGGCAGGGAAGAGGACGGGGAACAAGGGACGAGGGGCGGTGGAGTGCGTCCGGGAGGAAGAAGGTGAGTGGGCGTACGGCCGCGCGCGCACGGTATTTATCCCCAGGCTCACCTCGCGTCGCGGCGTAGCAGGGCCCGGGAGATCGATCTCGGCGCTCCGCTGCGGACATCTTGTGGGTGCCCCGCCCACCGCGGCCGCAGCACGCTACGGTCGGAGACGCGTGGATGCACACACCCTGACCGTTGCGCGCGGCTGGCTGGATACGCGGTTGCCCCGTCTGGCTTCCATCCTAGGACGGTCTGTGTCCTCGACTGGCGACACCAGCTGCCGGCACCCGGTGAGCACGGACGGCGGGACACCTGCGATGGCTCAGCACATTGGCAAGCACTTCGTACATCTCGCATGCGCACACGTAGGACCATGAAATGCAGGAGATTCTCCCTTGCCACCCTCCGAGTCAGACTGTCCGGCGCCGGGATCCTCTCCCGCTCGCTCGCGCGCTCCTCCGCACCTTCGCACACCCACCCGCGTCCCGATCGGGTGGTCCTGCCTTCACCCTCCGCCCTGCCCGCCCGCTCTCGTAACCCATCCCCCGGGAACACACGCCCGAGCCCCGCGGCGCGCGCGGCGCGCGTGCGCCACCACCAACCAGCGCACGCCACGATGCGTAGGCGGCGAGGACCGAGGTGCGTGCCCCCACAACGGACGATGATGGTTTCAATTTGCGGATGTGCGACGGGACATCGCGTACGGACGGGTGATGTGGGCGCCGCGGCCGGGGGCCGGGAGGGTCACCACCGCTTCGCCTGCTGTTCCCCGGGAGACGGACGTTTTTGACGGTACGGCGGTATGTACGTAGATCGCGATGCTCGATGCATGGCCCGTGGTGGGCTTCCGTTTCGAGTGTACTGAGTCCGCTGTGCAGCGTCGCGCCCGCGCCCGCGCCCGCCTGCGCGATGGGTGCACTTGCGCAGGCTTGGGTTTCGACGCCGTGTATCGGGGACAGCGGACGATCTGACGAGGACGGGGATGGGACACTGGGCCCATTCACTTGCAGGGCGGGCAACGTACTCGCACGCTCGGATCGCATTGCTTCGTAAGGTATGTCCGAGTCGGCAAGCTCCAATTGATATGTAGGTCGAGTCCACGGCTGTGCGCACGGGTCCATGGTCTGCAACGCAGGTACGGGTCTGCCTCGTGGTGAATGTCATCTCAAAAGACAGGTTATCTGGGGTCGATTCAGAAGGTAGGTGGTCCCGGGATACGTCTTGAACACGCTTCCCCGCCAACCCGTAAATATATTTCTCCTTGTCTGTACTGCGCCTGGGCGTGAGGCTTGCGGTGCACGAAACACGCGGTGCATGCCAACTGACAGTTCCTGGCACAGCCAGACAAATATGCGAGATCTGCGCATGCCTGGCTGCTTTATTTGCGAAGCGAGCCTGGCAAATATTTCAGGACTTGATGCAGAGGTGGGCATGCGGCGCAGTTGATACACGATGGTGGTACGTCTGCACGTCTCGAATTCGGTCAGGACATGGAGCTCACATGCATATTCAGGCAGAACGGCTCCGATATGATTTTTGCGTGTCCCGCGCAAGGATTCCGCTCGAGAATGATAAACAAATGTAGTAGCTCGTTGCAGCGGCTTTGCGCCGCGTCTGCGCAGATCTGATTCCGGGGCTCGCCCGTCTTGCGCTCAACAAACTTTTCCCCTTGCTTTGCCGTCTCGCTGGGCAGTGTGCACTAACCCTCACCGTTTAGTGTCTGCTTGACTCGGAATATTCACAGATGTGACCGAAGATGATCTATTGTCTATTATGGGTGGTATACCATGCATGCGAGCGGCGACTCAGCTTGAGGCAGCCACTGAGCCAGTTGGAGACGGTGCTTACATGCACACACACATTTGGCACCGAGTGTACGGACTCATATCCCGCGAAACGGCGGGGATTTATGGCGGCTGATGTCTGCGGCCCACAAAGTGTGGGCATCGTGAAATCCTGGCGGGTGTGAATTCCGTGACTATTGCATCCGGCGAGCGTGAGGCTCGAATCGGAGTCTGGTCCATGTCTTGTGTCTCGCAGTCTCACACTTTCCTCATTCAAATTGTGTGCAACACATCCTTGAACCGCTGCAGCACACTTCCCGGATTTTCCTGGGCACGAGAAATAGATTGAATAGGGTACAATGAGTTAGGTAGACTCCGTGGGGCAGATAGATGAGATCTCTGCTCGCACTCCTGCCGGTAACCCCGTGGCCAATCGATTGGGAGACTCACGCAGGCTCGCATGCGCATACGGATAGATCACTTAGTTTCGGTCAAAATGGCTTTGTAATTTCTGAAGACACTCAGCGTGTTAGAACCAAAAAGATTGATGGACAATCTGGGACTCCTCTGACACTAAGTAGTCTTGAATTCAATTGAGGCACTCCGTCGCACTTCCTTGAGGCACACGCTGTAGATGGTATGCTGAAGAGCACCTGGAAGCTGGAATAAGTGAGCAAGGCTGAATCAGGGATGGTCTTCCGATGCTGGGGCATTCCAGAAGCGACGAAGAGTCGGAGCCGGAATTCCTCAGCACCCGAGGCCCATCCCTCAAAGGCCAGGCGTGTGAAGCGGAGCAACACTCGGCTGCGAGGTGCACAGTCCCTGCCGGTGAATAGACCGGCAAGCAGACGTACCTTGCAACACCTGTCCAGCAGACTAGTAACCCGCCCGGTGGTTACTGCCCATCAACCCTTCCTTTGTCCATGCTCGTCCCGCCAATCATCCCGCGTGCCCATCCGCACATCCCTGCTTTGGGACTGTAACGGACACCACCTCTGCATGCCACCCCCGCCCGCATGGGCGTGCGTGCACAACCCGGCAAATACCGCTGCATAATGTGCCTAGCATCCAGATATGATTAGAGGTGGTAAGCCATTCTGCTACTACATGATATAGATGGCGGCTCTCACCGACATCATCTTCTAGCCTTCCACCGCGCTTGCTCTGTCCTCACAACGCGATCACTACGCCGCATCGGGGTCTACTACCCTGGCGACGTGTGGCAGTCTTCGACCCTGTATGGCCCCACGAACTTCCTCGGAGTCCCTTCTAGACCTCGACGAGACTCACCGCTGCCACTGCACCTTTGACACGCCTCCCGACCTTCTCCCTCCACCGACAGTCACTCCAAGTCCAAGACTTGGAGAACTCCCGCCATCACCGAGCCTCGTGCACCATACAGAACACCCATGGCCGCGGCGCCGCGCTGCCGCCAAACTTCCACGTGCATGAAGCCACCACAAAGCCACGCCCACGGCAACTCGTCAGTCTCGCCGCCCGAACATCAAGTTACCGTGTACGCACCAGGGTACCCTACTCGCCTCTCGTCCCTGCGTTGCGGTGGGAATTTCTTCCAAGGTGCCCGTACATGGTACATTTCACAGTGCTCTGGGTGTGTGCCGCATGCGGCCTGATGGTGAGCCCCATTCAGACTCTCAACGACGAGCACTGACCTCTAATCTACATGTAGTGTAACATGCACGATCATGTCCCGGGCACAAGTCGGGACGGCTGGCGCGTGGGTCGTCTAGTGTGAGAGAATCCACTGTGAGTCTACTCCCGCGTTGTCGACGATGTTTAGACACTTGCCCGATGTATTGCGAAAGCCTCCCATCCACCCAGAAGACATCTTTGCGCTCCGGCGCTGTTCTGCGTGCCATCTGAGCCGTCTCGTTCCCTCAAGGAATTGCTCTACTGCCTAGAGAGCGACGCCGAAGCTGCACGCTGCTGCTAAACCTGAAGAACCATCCGGAGTGCGTTCGAGGCACGCTGCACCACCGATCAGCCTACATCATCGTACTGATTCGCAATGAAGTGCTCACCCCATTCGTACAGCCCCCTCGCGCGCGCACGCGCTCGAAGCCCACGCGAAGTTGTCTGCGGTTCCTCACGGCCGAATGGCCCCACACGCTCGACGTCCCTCGCACATCTCGTGATCACGGAGACGCACTTGAGCGTGTTTGTCCCACTACACAAGGTCCTCCGTGGCCTTCGTACCTTCCGGGATCGTTTCCGCCATGTGCGGCAAGGTGGATCAGCTTCTGCGCGCGTTGAATCCCTTGCCATTCGACTGTGCGGGCGTTTCGATGGGAGACCAGAGTGTACAGCATCGAGGCAACATACCTGAGTGAGTGGTACGTCCACCACGTGTCCCATACGAAGGTCTACTTACCTGGACCTCGTGTAGGTGTCATAGAGCGCGCCGGCGATCACGAATGCGGCAGAGCCTAGTAGATCAGGGTAAGCACAATGCAACTCTCGATCTGCAAGCGCACTACTCACAAGTTGCAGCGATAGGCTCGCGTCGTGGACGTCGATGATGTCTCCACTCGTCGAAGTTGTCGGGTCAAAGGCAGGGGAACATGTCAACAATGACATGTGCCTCTCCCGCTCTCACGACACGGCCAACACTGTGGGACGGCCTCTGCGCAAACGCGGCCGGGACATTGCCGTTGCAATGTTCCCAGACATCGGACCGGACTCGCGGGGAGGGCGGTGTGATCCTGGACGTTAGCGGAGCGCATTCGACGCCGGCGGGGTGAGTCTCCCGGACGCTGAACGATAACACACCGTGAGCACAGCTACTTTGCTTCGAAGCGACATTGTGCTCACTTTCCTGTCTTCCCGAAGGTGAGTCTGCGCTCAATCCTCTCTTTCTCGCGCGCTCCTCACTCGCAGCCGCTGCCATGAGAAGGTCGCGCCGTTCGGGACGCACACCAGCTCTTCCAGAAGCTTTACTCATAGCCTGCGAGCCAAAGCGTCTTGTGGGGCACACGAGGCCAACTCACCCTGCTGCTCCGAGTCGCCATCATCCGTAGGCAAGAGTGTTCTCGAGCGCAGAAGACATCGTGCTAACTTGTACATCTTCCAGGGAAGCGCCGCACGTCTGCGCAATGTTCTGCGAGTCCCGAGACGTACAGAGGGCTTCGCATGCGTGGCGACTCGGCGTCCTGGGCTTCCGCAGAGAGGTGCGCTGTTCCGCAGGTGCGCAGGGCCGTCCCGAGGCTCTGTCTGTCGTCCAAGAGAACGTCGTCGTGCAAGGCCGCGTTCCCATCGCGTTGTTCCGCACAGAGAGGTCAGCGAGGTGTTCGCACGTCCGGGAAACGATTCACTTACTGCGTCGCTTCCAGGACGCCTCCGAGCAATGCAAAATGCTCGAGTGGGCGGCAGAACTGTTCTGCGCCCTTGGGCCAGCTTGCGAAGACTCTGACATCCTCTAGAGAGTCCTGAGCGTCACAGGAGATATGAGTTCGCGTCGTTTGCATTCCGGGACAGATGCACTGACCTCCGTATCGTCCCGAGGCGCAGAAACTAATCTTCCAGGACCGACAAAGGGCGACACAAGACGTTCCCAGTCTCCCAAGGCCAAAGGATGCCGGTCTACTTTCGGTCTTCGGTGAGCTGCCTTCCTTTGCGCCCGAGAATCGTTGGGACGACCTGTGCTTCTTCCAGCACGCGTTGTGCGCCCGGAGACGCGGCGTGTGGGCTGATTCCGTCGTCTGCACGGCAGGACCTGGTGAGTATGCTCGGCAGACGTCTGGAAGCTTGTCTACTAACCTGCTGCCATTTCCCGGACAACGAGGCGGCCGACGTAACGACCCCGCGACCGTTTCGCGCCTGGTACCATCACCAGGTGTTGCAAAGGGCGTCCCGAAGCGTCATTAGGCGGGCTCGGAGCTGATCCAGATCGCGCCTTCGCAAGAGGCTGGGGCAGCGGCCGC